TTAACCCATCAAAGAAAATGAAAAAGGTTAGTAACAATATGCAAGTCCTCTCAGATTTAGAAGTACTATAAATAGCCAAGTACTGCCAAATAGGCTAAACACCTTTAGCGGTTGATATAATTTTGATCTTAAATATAACTTTAACCCATATGAGAGACAATTACAAATTAAGTATTTAGTTAAATGATATTATGTATACAAAAGAAGTACAGTAAAACCTCGATATAACGGACTACTTGGGGAAATGGGGTGTCTGTTAAAGCCGAAAGTCCACTACGAAAGTACACTATATTCAGATATATATATATATATATATATATATATATATATATATATATATATATATATATATATATATATATATATACAAAATACAAACAAAATTCTATTTACTTGTTAATTGATGGATTCGATATTTCATAAACATAAACCTACCCATACTGACACGACTATACACAATTCATCATCCCATCCAACACAACATAAACTGGCAGCCTATCATAGTATGTTACATAGATTAACAGAAATTCCGATGTCAAAATACAACTTTGAGACAGAATTAAATATAATTAAGCAAATTAAATCAAAAACTACACAAGAAAGCCCTGAAATTAGTATTTCCACCACCAGAAACCCAGTACCTTCTGCTCGATTACATATACAAAGGCAAAATAACAAAAAAAATTGCCAAACACATAAAAAAGAAAGGAATAACACCAGCTTTCCGAACAAATAACAACCTAGGAAAATATATTAAAAATAACAAGAGCCAAAATAAAAAACACTTAAATAGTGGTGTGTACAAACTTCAATGTGGCGACTGCCAAAAACTTACATCGGTCAAACTGGTAGAAACTTTGATAAACGAATAGCAGAACATAAAAGGGCTTTCAAGAATAGAAAAACAGATTCGACATACGCACTTCACCTTCTAGATCATAATCATTCTTTTAATGACAAATTTAAAATTCTTCACATTCAAAATAAATGCCTTAAGCTATCTTTGTTAGAATCTATGGAAATCAACAAATTAAAAAACACATATATAATTCTGAATGACCAACTTGAGACAAACAGTTCTCCCCTCCTCAACCTATTTAATTAGAGACTATAAATTTGTAAACCCAAGCCAAAAATAATCACTTGAGAAAGGCAATCAGCCGAAACAGCTGTAGTGATAAGATTTAAAATAAATTTTGTGGAAGTTTGAAAACAAAGTTTTCAGTGTTTTATTGTTACATCTATTTACTTGTCTTCGGACATTTGTCGTGAAGTGACATTGCTGTGGATATCGACCCGCTAGCCAATTTCGATGTTTGCTGTTTTTTTTATGATCAACTCTAAAATTACGGAACTTCCATCCTTACTTTATAGGTTCATAACTTCATCTGCTATTTCACTTTCAGTCATGATGTTATATCCAGGGTCACGTTCTCTACTCTCGTAGCTATGTCATCAAAACGTTATGCTCTCATTAAAAATAGAAATCTTCTCCAACTCATCACTGTTTTGAAATAGTTCTTCAAGGTTAACTCGATTACCATGTTAAATGCCCGCCAAATAAAGCAATATTCCTAGTTTGTCTGTATCCCTAATATATTGCGAGGTGGTCGCTTACTTTTTCTGTTTGGATTTTTTGCCAAATCCATGAGTCAAAAACTGTTTCATTTTTCTTTAGATGAGCTAGGTATATAAGCCTCGTTGGAACTGTTAGCTTCGTCTTCGGCATTACTCAATTCGGACTCAATTAGGCGGACAAAAAAAATCTTCTTTTTATCCGCCATTTCTAAAATAAAATAAACAAAATGGAACTAATTGCCACAAATGGTCGCGTGCATATGAGAGATACATTCCTTTTATATCAACGTAGAAAGTTGTCAACACAAAAAATGCATGAAATAGTAATATGTTATCCATATTACAATAAGAATAATGTAACTATAACAAAAAAACAGATGTTATAAAAACTCATCTAAAAGGCGCAAGTATATCTGAAATACAAATGCAAAATTCTCAACAACGTACTATCCCTTGACAGGTTATTTATACACAGTGATGCCACTCCTCACGATTTATCGTGAGAACTCACGAATTGAAGACAAATCTCACGATTAAGGTCTTACATCTTACGATTTTTAAAATTTTTTAAAATCTTAAGTGTATCTAATAAAATGTATGGGATGAAATCAGCTTCTTTTAGATCGACTGTATTTGTGTATCAAAGTGGGCTACTCCAATTAACTCAATTAATAGGTATACACAAAATAATATAAACAAAGCTTAAAAGGTTCTTTATTGCTTTGAAAGTGGTTTATAAACAACTGAATTGTAATGTATATTTTACCGCCTTTAATAAATATGAAGTATAGACTGAATTTTGTGTAAAGAATCAACAGTCGACAGACCTATTAGTAAAAACATATTGATTTAAGTGTGTATTTGAGATATGTGCTGACAAAATGTTAAATCGACAAAATGTTAAATCGTAAGAAAACAAAATTATGTTTTTATGTATATTCATTATACTTAATACTCTTGGGTAAAATACTGTATCATATGTCTTTAGACACTTGTTAATAATTTTCTTTGAAGTTTAAACTATAAAGAATGTTTACAATATTAAATGGATAAATCCATAGCAGTATTATAAAAGAATATAGGTCGGTAGGTAATTTCCTAAAATTATATCTGATACTGGTGGTTCCCCTAAAATAGGACCTTCTCTATTTTAGTAACAATCTATTTTGGGGGAACCACAACCTTTTTTATATATAAGGTGAATACACAATTATTAAACGCACAAACGCAAATTATAACTTTGAGTTCCGAAAACGAGTTTTTAAAAATTATTTTATTTCGAAAATACAAATTTACAAATTATGTAGCAAAAGTTCTTAAACAAAAGTTATGAAGCAAAAGTTATGAACAAAAACTATGAAGCAAAAGTTAAGTAGCAAAAGTTATCGTAATTGAAATGTTCCTCTATTTATAATATAGTATTGCGTAGTTTCTATTGTCCTACAATGTGCAGATTCTGTGGAATCCAGTGGCGTAACTCGCAGTTCTTTCTTCATTAAAGTGAATTTGTGTGAGGTGTTCTACTCAACTTTGAAAAATATATTGAAAATAAAATGTCGGACAGTGATAGCAATGTTCCTTCCACATCAAAAAAACAGAAGATTTCTTATCAACAAAAATATAAAGAAGACTGGGAAAAAGAATTTCAATGGATATCTGCAAGTAAAAGAAACGCTTTACATGCATGGTAAGATCTTACATTTTTAATTTACATAATTTATTTCATTTGTATTTAATTTATTTTATTTTTAATTTTATTTTTCAATTTGATTTGAAAGTACTTGTTTACTAACTCCTATTTATTTTTAAGGTGTAAAGTTTGTCACTGTGATGTAAAAATCAGCCGTGGAAAATTTGATCTAGTTAGGCATAGTGGCACAGCCAAACACAAATCTATGTCTCAAGCGGTTTCCGGACAGATGCTAATTTCAGAAGCTTTTAAAAAGCAAACAAAAACAATGGATTTGGAACCAAAATTGAAAGAAGCCGATATAAGAATGGCGGGATTTATTGCAGAGCACAATCTTCCCTTCAAATTAATGGATCATCTTCCTTCGTTGATCAGTGCACTGTGTCCTGATTCCGAAGTTGCAAAAAAACTTAAATGTGGTCGTACAAAGGTAAGCACAATAATTAAAAATGTGACTGCTTCAAAAGAACGTGAGCGTATTATTAAACTATTAAATTCAAACAAATTTAGTATAATTATTGATGAATCAACAGATATATCAAACATTAAACTACTTTGTATTGTTGTTCGCATTAATGTTAATAATAATGATGTTAAAGATTATTTTCTTACTCTGATTCCAATTCAAGAAGCTACCGGTGCTGCAATATTTGAATCTATTATTTCATTTTTTAGAAAATATAATATTCGTTTCATAGAAAATTGTATAGGGTTTGCATCAGACGGTGCAAATAACATGATGGGTAAGCATAATTCTGTTATGAGCAGATTGAAAGAAACAATTCCCCATCTTTTTGTGATGAAATGTATTTGCCACAGTTTTCACCTCTGCGCGTCATATGCTTGTGAAAAATTACCACAAGAGGTTGAGAAACTTACTAGAGATATACATAATTATTTTAGTAATAGTCCAAAAAGAATTGGGGAATTGAAAGATTTTCAAGTATTTGTAAATGAAATGAAATCGTAGGCTTCCACGGCCAGAGTCAGAATTATAGTTTATTCGTCTTCCGGGTTTGGACCGTGTCATTTGTGAGTGACCCAAAAGTGGGTTCATCTCGACGTTTCGCTACAATTGTATGTAGCTTCTTCAGGAGAACAAAAAAAAAAAAGAAAGAAAGAAGAAAACAAAGAACAGGAAGATGGGTAGTTAGCAACGGTAACTCAGTTACTCAACGCAACCAGAGGCGAATACTAACTACCAAGATGGGCATTTGGTCACAGTAACTCAACTACTCAACGCAGCCAGAGGTGAAAACCAAATGCCAGGACAGGGATTCACGTCCAACAGCTCAGAACACTAACGCGTCGAGAGGCGGGGAGTCCGAATCCCGGATTCACTCCCCGCCTCTCGACGCGTTAGTGTTCTGAGCTGTTGGACGTGAATCCCTGTCCTGGCATTTGGTTTTCACCTCTGGCTGCGTTGAGTAGTTGAGTTACTGTGACCAAATGCCCATCTTGGTAGTTAGTATTCGCCTCTGGTTGCGTTGAGTAACTGAGTTACCGTTGCTAACTACCCATCTTCCTGTTCTTTGTTTTCTTCTTTCTTTCTTTTTTCTTTTTTGTTCTCCTGAAGAAGCTACATACAATTGTAGCGAAACGTCGAGATGAACCCACTTTTGGGTCACTCACAAATGACACGGTCCAAACCCGGAAGACGAATAAACTATATTTGTAAATGTTTCAACAGTTAATATATTACATCCTTCAGCTACCAGATGGCTTTCTTTAGAAAAAGTTGTAAAGAGATTATTAACTCAGTTTAACGCTCTAAAACTTTATTTTACTGATCAGTCTGCTCAAAACATTACAGAAGCTAAAAGTATCTTAGAAAATTTAAACAACCCACAAATAAAACTTTACTTGGAATTTTTACTGTATGCTCTTCCTTTCTTCAATAAATTGAATTTAATTATGCAAAGTGAAAAACCACAAATTCACATTATTTTCGAAGAAGTAGCAGCTACTGTTAAAACAATAATGGATTGCTATATAAAAGACAATTTGCTGAATAACCATGACATAATAAACATCGATTTTAAAAATCCCAGAAATTTTAGGCCTCTTGAGGACATGTATTTTGGTGCAACTATAAATAGTTCTAATTTAGCTCTAAATTTATTGAAAGAAGTGAAATTAAAATGTTTAGAATTTTATATTGAAAGTATTGAACAAATTCTTAAAAGATTTCCGCTTAAAAGCTCTGTATTTAAATATTTCGAATTTTTAAATCCAGAAATCGTAAAAAACAGAACAATTTCATCAATTTCTCAAGTTGCTAAATATTTTCCAAATTTAATTAACAATATTCAAGATTTGGATAATGAATGTCGCTTGTGACGCAATTTAAATTTTAATGATATTAACGTAAATAAAGAAGACACCATACAGTTTTGGACAAATATTTCCAATTTAAAATTAGGAAGCGGTGAAAATAAATTTCCAATTTTAAGTACCTTTGTTTTCAATCTTCTTTGTTTGTCGCATTCCAGCGCTAATGTAGAAAGAATTTTTTCCCAAGTAAATCTTAATAAAACTAAACACCGAAATAGAATGAAGCCGGAAACCTTAGAAGGATTACTTTTAACAAAAAGTTTAGTTTCTTTTAGTGGAAAATGTTTTGATTTTCAAGTTGACTCAGAATTAATAAAGAAAAATAGAATTGAATCGACCTCTTTCGCTGTTAATTCTGAGTCTTCAGACTCCGAAACTTATTGAAATGGAATCAGAAACTTTTTTTCATTTTATAATATCAAGTTGCACCAACATCTTCTTAAATGTCACGTCGTCCTTAAAAGTTTTAAGGACGAGCGCAGCGCAGCGTATGTAATAGATATTATACTAAATATATTACCCGTGTATCTACCACATACGCGTGACCGCTGGAAGGTTAATCAAATATAATAGAAAAATATTTTATGTGGAAGGAACCTATAAAATAAAAATATTTTTGATTAATTAAATTTTTTCAATTTATAAAATACAATTTTACTTATTTTACCTGCAGGTAGTAAAATAACCGTAAAAATCTTCTCTTTGTCCTAATATGAGATAGAAGCTGAAGAATAAATAGAAATTTTCTATCAGTATTTAGAAGACTCTAAAACTGACCAAAAAACATTAACTTAGAGAAAGGCCCAAGATAGATATACGACTACTAAAAGAAAATGACATCCAGAAAGAAAGTGAAAACAGAGATTAATAAGAATTTTGCGAAAATAGTTGAAGACACTACTTAGAGATATAGAAGAACAGTGGAACGAAATGAAGGCATATATAATATCTAAAATCATAAAGAGAAAAGAAGCAAGAATGTATGACAGATAAAATATTGCAGATAATTGGAGAGAGAAAAAATTAAAAGGTAGGTTAATTAAAAAAATTATACAAGAAGTTGCATAAGAATATTCTAAAGGAGCAAAATAAGTATGGCTGATGGAGAAATGTACTGAAATTGAAACACTACAACGCAAACAGGACGATTTCCATATGCAGAAAAAAATTAAGAGGTACAGAACATCAGAAAACAACGCAATACACGCATAACTGTAGACATTGAAGGACAGAATTAGACTACCATTGAAGATACATTTCGAAGATGGAAAGAATATATGCAAGAATTATTCGAAGATGCAGCACGAAGTCCGAATGAAATAAACAATCCCTACGGCCCAGAAATAACAAACGAAGAAGTAACTGTGGCCATTAAGCGGATTAAAGACGAGAAATCACCAGGACCTGATCAGGTGCATGGCGAAATTTTAAAGCTGCTAGAGGTACACCAAATCACAGCTCTTATGAAGCTATTGAAAAACATCTACGAGACTGATTACTTACCAAACGACTGGCTACTATCAATATTTATTCCACTTCCTAAAAAATCCAACGCTAGAAAATGTGAAGAACATAGATTAATTAGTTTCATGAGGCATGCACTTAAAGTACTTCTTACTCTCATTCACTTGCGCATATACACCAAATCAGAAGAACATCTGAGTGAAGTTCAATTTGGATTCATAGCAGGACTCAGCACAAGGGAAGCACTCTTTAGTTTGCAAGTTTTAATACATAGAGTCAGGGATATTAACTGCGATGTGTATGCATGTTTAATTGATTTCGAGAAGGCATTTAATAAAGTGCACATGGGAATCTAATCGATATCCTAAAAACACAGAACTCAATGGCAAGGATATAAGACTGATCTTCAAGTTATATCTCCAACAAAAAGCAACAGTGTAATTAGAAAATTAACTATCCGAGATCTTCACAGTCGAAAAAGGAGTTAGGTTACATATTATCACCGGCATTATTTAACATATACTCTGAAAACATCTTTAGAGAGGCCTTGGGCGAATCAGAAGATGGGATTGCTGTAAATGGCCAACTTATGAACAATATTAGATATGCAAACGATACAGTGTTGCTGGCAGATAGTGCCCAGGGGCTCCAAAGGATGATGGATAACGTTGTAGAAACATGTAACAAATACGGCCTAAAATTAAATTGCAAGAAGACAAAAATAATGGTCGTTAGTAAGAACACCAACATAAACGCCCAAATTACAATAGGCAATACACCGTTAGAAAGATTGGAAAAATATGCTATTTGGGCTGCAATATTAAGGATACTTGGGATCACATGGACGTAGACGTATATCCAGGCTGGCCAATCTTAGGAAGTTTACTGATCTAACGTCAACTTATCTATTTCGAGCTGCTGTGAATACAATAATATGAGTCAATGTGGTCGCCACAATCTCTAGAAGATAGGCACATTTAGAAGAACAAGATTTTGTTAGTTATTTTTCATGCAGTTTTTAATTTAAACCTACTTAGAGTAAATATATGATAACTAAAAACGAATTGATTGGAGAGTAGTGAATCAATGTGAAGACCGCTATATCTTGGCGCTACTTCCGTGACGCTCGCCTTAGAGACAGATGAAAAAAACTGAGGGAGACCTATGTCAAGCAGTGGTCGCATACAGGCTGATGATGATGATGATGGAAGCATTCGCTTCAAAAATGTTTTTTTCTTGATTTTAATAATATTCAATTTTAGATTTTCATGCACCTCCTACTTCTGAGCAATACATGCTAATTTTTGATGATCCTGAAGAGCAAGATTGCAGAAGTGCTAGAGTTAACACTGATTTATCTTCAGTTGGTCCTTTACGGAAAAGTATTTTAGGTGTGGAAATTATAACAAAGCTACTTTACCAAAGAAAATTATAAAAAATAAGGGTGAGAATTCCTGTATTTAATTTTGTTGTTTTCGAGACTTTCGTTTTTTAATTTAATAAAAAACAGATATAGTTATAAAATAGTAAATACAAACTTCCTATATCATAATATATACTCTCTCTTTCTGATATTATGACTGGTATTATATTACATATAAAAACCCGTAAGTGTATACTATATTTTTGGACAGAGAGAATATTTTTTGGTATAGAACAAGTTTTTATTTCTTATTTTATGACTGCATTTATTTTCCCTTAAAAACATACTTTTTTAATTTTAACGCTTAAAATTCAGAACATATTTTTTGAATTTACCGCCTAAAATTCATAACCTACATTTTTTAATTTGTCGCCAAATGAAATTAGTCTCGGCCCGTCCGCATTTGGCGCTAGAAACTCTCCCAAACCAGAGAACTACGAACACAGTTCGTAGTTCTCTGCCCAAACCAAAACTTCCAATGAGATTTACTTTACTGTAATTTATTTATTTGTAATTTATAAATAAAAATGTATTATCTGGATAGTATAAACTATTTTTATAGATATACTCATTTCGCAACCAAGGAATTAAAATAAAAAAAATTAATTTTGTAATTTATTAAAAGAAAATATGTTCTGATATCTTAACTATTTGTAAAACTTGGCATCATTGGTAATATCATCCAATCGTAGCGTAGCGATTTGAGGAAAAAGGAATAGGAATAGGAATAAGAGCATGGCGTTGTAATGTTTATACCTGCCTTTGAGTTAACAATTTCCTTATTTTGTGACATTTTAGTGAATTTGTTAATTAATTTTAAAGGGCATTTCGCAATTGCGGGCACTCTAACCTAACCAAGCATTTATATGACATTTAACGTTCGCTTAAATGGTGTCAGAGTTGCCAAGTCTCCAGTTTTTTCATACTCTCACATAATATTATACAAAAAATTAATAGTATAGATTTTAGTTAAATTAAAGATAATAATCAAATGCATATACAATAAAATTGATTAAAATTATATAAAAAATTAATAGTAATAATTAAATTACCGTATATAATAGAAATGCATTGAAATTATATAAAAATTCAAAGATTTTACAAAATATTTGTTTTATAAGAAACAAACTTTTTTATATAAGAAATTTGTTTTATAAACAAAGAAAATATTTGTTTTATACTTATTTAAATCTTGTAGCTTCTCATAATACAAATTATAATTTCGTAAAAGTAACTTATATTTTAAACCTTCATATACATTTTACAAAAAAAATACGGCAAGTTTTAAAATTTGTAGCTTCTCATAACACAAATTATTATTTCGTAAAAAGTAAATTTATATTTGTAGCATTCATGTACATATTTTACTAAAATAAATACGGCAACACTGTGACGCAGTGCCTTGAGGAAAATATATTTGGTTAGGTTAGAGTGCCCGCAATTGCGAAATGCCCATTTTAAATTAGAATTGAAAAATATTTAATAAGTGTAATAATGGTGCGTAACTGTAATGTATGTAGGAAAACTGGATATTTACATCCAGAACTGTCATTTCATCTGTAAGTATTATAAACAATTGAATTACGTCCATGGGTGTAGTACAGGGATGTGAGATTACTTAATTCTTGATATGAATTAAAGTTTAATTTTGTGAAATAAAGTAAATTTTGTAGTACTATAAATATATTTGTTTATTTTTTCTAATCTACACTATAATTGCTATAAATATATTAATTTCAATGAAATATCATATGCAGGTTCCCAGTCAAGAATGATAGGCTACTGGATATGTGGTTGTCTATTTTCGGCTTAAATAAAGAACAAATAACCAAAACTACTAAGGCCTGCTCAGAACACTTTAGAAAGCATGACCTAATTATAAAACCAAGTGGACGGATTTTTTTGAGGAAAGGAGCTGTTCCAATAAATATTTGTCATAAATCACCAGAACCAAGGTAACTATAACGAATTTCGGACGATTTTCTATGTATTTTACCATACAGAGTATAATAAATATAATGCATACTAGTAGCATATTCCATAATGTCTAAAGAGTGCCTAAATATTTATTGTTCCTCTTCATAAGTGTGGTAAAAAGTCGAATTCTGCAAGTATAAACCTATAGCATTTTTCATATGAAAAGCTTGCCTTCAAGATATATGTAGTCAGAACCCACAGCGTTGCCAAGAAAGTTGTCTGTAGAAAGCTTATCAACTTTCTACAGACTATTTGTTTGTTTTGGCATATCACAATCACAATACACAACAATAATTAATTTTAAAGCTATTAATCTAAATTTAGTATGTATTTATAAATACAATTTATTAATATATATATATATATATATATATATATATATATATATATATATATATATATATATATTATATTATTAATTAATTCATGTGGGTAGCGGGTAGGTACCCCTCTATGATCCCGATAGAGGGTAGACTTACTTCAGGGAAATAGCGTCCCTGCCCACGCGAGCTCCTAGTTTTTCCTCCACTCCCCGCTTAGAGGAAAACAGGTCCAAACCCCAGTATTATCCTACCCTAAACCCCAAATTCCTTCCCTATATCCCCACCACACTCGCCAACCGTCTTGCCAGCGTGGCGAGTTATGGCTAACTCACCCAAATGAGTTTTAAAACAAGAGGATTTGGTCCCCAGGTGGGTGCTCAATCCCACACCTCTAAGGAGGTCAGCCTCATGGAATCTGGGGGAGGCAAAAACTCATTAAAACACCGAAAGCAACATATCTATATTGCTAGTTTCAATGCCAGAACCCTCAAATCACCCGAACGAATGGAAGAAACTGGAAGAAGAACTAACTAAGATCAAGTGGGATGTCCTTGGTCTAAGCGAAACGAGACTGCCAGGAGAACAATGTACAATACTCCATTCTGGACACATGTTCTACCAATTCCATAATGAGTACAATACACATGTAGGCGGGTAGCACTATTGATCCACAAAAGACTCAAACATCTGGTCACAAAATCTGCTGCAATCTCGGAGAGGGTCATTTACATCGTTCTTAAACTATCAGAAAGGTACAGCATCCAAATAATTCAAGTATACGCTCCCACTAGTCAATCCACAGATGAAGAAATAGAGAAATTCTATGAAGATATTTCTAAAGCAATGACAGAAAGAGCTCATTTTAAAATAATCATGGGAGACTTTAACGCAAAGTAGGGAAACACAACACCGGCAACATACCAAATAGAGGAATATATGGGCTAGGAACTACAAATGAAAGAGGAGAACGGTTACTAACATACACACAGGAACAAAATCTATTTTGTATGAATACATTTTTTAGTAAACCAGATAATAGACGGTGGACCTGGATAAGCCCAGACGGGAAAACCAAAATGAAATCGATTACATATTAGTCAACCAGAAACAGATAATAAAAGATGTAGCGGTGCTCAACAGATTCAATCTGGGAAGTGATCATAGATTAGTAAGAGCAAAAATAATAATCGATAACAAATTAGAAAGAAATAAACTAATCTTGCAAAACGAACCCTAAATACTAAAGAGCTTGGGCAAAACAGTACCAACTACCAGAAATATCTCGAGTCTAGTCTAGAGCCAATGGAACAGCTAAAAGAAAAAGACATAAATAATTTGGAAGAAACGATAAGAACGAGTATAATCTCTGCGATCAAAAAAACCCATACGATGCCGAAACGAAAGATAATAAATTGAAGACAGAAACACAACAGATGATTAGGGACAGAAGCCGCATGGATCGAAATTCACCAGAATATAAGGAACTTAATAAGGCAATAAGAACAAGAATTAGACAAGACATCAGGGACAACAACACCGAAAAAATCGAAAACATTATAGAGAAAAACAAGAATATGAAAGTGTTTAAAAACGCTAAATAGCAAAGGCCGACAACAAATACACCAAATAAAGGATAAAAATGGAATCATTAGAAACGACAAAAATCAGATAATAAACATTGTCGAAGATTATTATACAGAATTATACTCGTCCAGCGTAGCAAAACTGAAACCCATGATACGGAACGAAGAATACTAAATGTAGGATCTGAAACACTACAGAAATTACTACCGAGGAAGTTGTAAATGCCTTAAAGCAAATGAAAAATGGAAAATCTCCTGGAGACGACGGAATAACAAAAGAGATGATTACAGCTGGAGGTCAAACTACTATGGAGGCAGTTAAAATCTTACTGAACAAGTGCCTATTCGGGGGTGCTATTCCAACCTCTTGGCAAAACGCGCAGGTACTTTTACTACACAAGAAAGGAGACAAACACAAACTCGAAAATTACAGACAATAAGCCTGTTACCACATCCATACAAACTGCTTACCAAAATAATTACCAACAGACTATCAAACAAAATTTGATAGTTACCAGCCTGTTGAACAAGCGGGTTTCCGCAAAGGTTATAGTACAATAGAAACACCTACAGACAATAAGGACACTTATTGAAAAATGTAACGAATACAATGAACCTCTTCATTTGGCATTTGTGGATTACAATAAGGCATTCGATTCCATAGAATTCTGGGCGGTATTAGACGGAATGAACAACGCAAGGATAGATTCCAGATATAGAATGCTCCTAAAATACATATACGACAATGCAACTATGCAAATAAATGTAGCAGAAGGCCTAACAACAAACAAAATAAGATCAGAAAGAGGTGTTCGACAGGGAGACACCATATCTCCAAAATTATTTACTCTTGCATTAGAAGATGTGTTCAAGAAGTTAATTGGGAACAACTCGGAATTAAAAATTGATGGCAGGTTTTTAAGCCACCTAAGATTTGCCGATGACATAGTACTCATAAGCAACAATACAGAGGAACTAATCTACATGCTGAAGGAGCTTAAACAAGAATCTGAAAAAATCGGTTTAAAAATGAATTTAAATAAAACAAAAGTAATGACAAATCAAAATATCACAATCGACTTAGATGGAAGTGAGATCGAAAGTGTCGAAGAGTATATATACCTAGGTCACACCATCAAACTAGGCAAACAGAATCAAACAGCAGAGATAACTAGAAGAATCCGAATGACTTGGGCAGCAGTAGGCAGACTCAGTGATGTGTTGAAGAACAAAAAGATACCAATAAATCTAAAGAAAAGGGTATTCAACAGTTGTATTCTACCGGTTATGACTTATGGAATGGAGACCATGACACTTACAGAGTTGTCAGCCAACAGATTAAGAACAACACAGAGGGCCATCGAACGAGCTATGTTGGGAGTATCACTGAGAGAACTATACGAACGAGGACATACGAAGCAGGACGAAGGTGGAAGATGTAATTGGAAGAATTGCACAAATGAAATGGAACTGGGTAGGGCACGTGGCACGGCAAAAAAACGACAGATGGACGAAAAAACATTGTACATTGGAGACCACGCGAACACAGTCGGAGTAGAGGAAGACCACAAAAAACGATGGCTAGACGACATCAAAGCAAAAATGGGGGGAGAAACTGGCACCAAATAGCACAAAACAGGGAAGAGTGGAGAACTCATGGGGAGGCCTTTGTCCAGGAGTGGATGCAAACAGGCTGAAGAAGAATTAATTCATACTTAAATTTATTTAAGACTTTAGACTTAAAGATTTATTTCATAAAATTTATATTATTAATAATAACAAATGTTTTTGGTTATTTAATCAATATAAGTCTATAATTTCGAATATAATAATGATTATATTTTTCTGATTATTACACCATGTTGACGCCTATGAAATATCGAGCAGTTCCGTATGGATTTCGTATTATTAGCTTTGTTAGGAAAATTTAAACTCAAAGGTTGATGTTCTGGAAATTTTAAATACTTTGTATAAATCGTGACGTGCAAGTGTTTTACTTTGAAAAATGGTATATTAATTTATTACCGGTCCTATCCAAAATAATTAAAAGGTTTATAAAAGCCAGACTTATGTTCATTCTCGTTGAACCAACATTTTATCACGAAGTCAGTTCAGCTTTTTCTAATAAATCTATAAGTGATGCTAAGTTTTTTCTACTACATGAGATCTATCAAGCACTAAATTATATTCTTTACATTGCCACTGTTATTTGTGATTATGCCAAAGCTTTTGTTTGTGTAAATCATGACATTTTGATAAAAAAAACTAAATTTCTACAGAATTCGAGTTATTTCTTTGAATTGGTTCCAATCTTGCTTGAGAAATAGGAAACAAATAGAGCAAATGATACTGACTCTAGTCACAAAAGCATTGTATGTGGAGTACGACAATGTTTAGTACTGGGTAGTCTACTTTTCCTTATCTTTATAAATGACATCACTGACTTAAAAAAAGGAGCTCTGCAACCCTTGCTTCTTAATAACAGCCGGATCAGTATCGTTGATTCTGTAAAATTTCATGATATTTTTACAGACAACAACCTTAAACGGTTCCTTTATATAGATTTGTTAAGAAACTAGTCGCAGCCTGCTATGCAATAAGATCTGTTTTGAAGAAAATCAATTTAGCATCTTCCAAAATAACATATTTTTCTTTGTTGTAACAAGTTGTAGAAGCTACTTCAAAAATCACATTCATTTTTACTCTTCCCTCTTCATATATTCTAGAAACTGTTTTCTTAATTGGTAAACACCTACATGTTTTTCCAGCAAGACCCAATCATGACTACTCCACCAGAAATTCAACCTTTGATGTGTAATTATCGATCCTGTCCACTGACTTAGTAAAGAAATCTATATTATATTCTGCAAAAAAAATTATACAATTATCTCCCTTTGCGACTTAACTCTACAACTTATTTCCTTAAGTTCCGTAAATTGACAAAAGCCTATCTATCTGAAAGACCATATTATTCAGTTTTATCAAGAGTTTCTTAACAAGTAACTAATAAATTACATTTGGCTTGGGAGAAAGAAATGAAAGAGGCGATAGACTTGTCGAATTATAATACTTTAATACTTTATACTTGGAAATCACCTGCGGATTCAGAAGATAACATTGTTCGAAACCAGATAGATAACCTTTTAATATAATCTAGATATAAAAACGCTTTAAAGTCTCTGAGAACATGCCCTGGAGCTGATATAAATTCAGACCATAATCCATTAGTAGGCGTTATGCAGATAAAATTGAAGAAGATCCAAAAACAAACAAATATACCACGGTTTGATGTCTCAAAGATAAAAGAAGAATCTATACGTCAGAGCTTAAAACAAGAAATAAATGATAACTTAAAGAAAATCAAACAAGACGTGATAAAAACAACAGATGTTAATGACAAATGGAACATGGTACAGGAAACTTTAATAAAGGCATTAAAAAAGCTACTGCAGACAAAAATAAGAGAAAAAACAGAAATGGATGACTTCAGAAATCTTAGATCTAATGGAAGAAAGAAGGAAACATAAAGGCAGGAGTAAGACAAAATACAAGGAACTACGGAGATTGATAGGAAAGAAAATAAAAGAGGCCAAATCCTCCTGGCTTGCTAATCAATGCAGTGAAATAGACACATATGCTAATGATAGCTTTAACATGCATAAGAAAATAAAGGAAATGACAAAGACACTGAGAAAAAAGAAAGATGTCCTTCTGAAAGACGCAAATGGAAAAATCATTATAGAAATTAAAGAGAAATTAAAAAAATGGAAGACATACATAACAGATCTGTTTAAGGATAATCGACAAGAACCGGAAGAAATCGACAGTGAAACGGGGCCAGAGATCATAATAGAGGAAATCGAACAAGCAATACGAAATGCAAAAAAACGGAAAAACTGTAGGTCCAGACGAAATACCTGCGGAACTACTGAAATGTCTAGACGATGAAACTCTACCTATACTTCTGGAGCTATTTAATGAAGTATATAAAACTGGAAAAATACCACAGGAATGGTTGGTGTCCACCTTGGTAGCAATACCAAAAACAGTATATGCCAAAGATTGTTCAGACTATAGGACAATATCACTAATAAGTCATACCCTCGAAATATTTCTAAAGGTGATTCATGGAAGATTATATAGAAAACTAGAAGAGGATATGGATGATACTCAGTTTGGGTTCCGCAAGGGACTGGGAATGAGAGAGGCATTGTTTGCTTTTAATGTCCTCTCTCAAAGATACTTATATATGAACCTAGATATTTATTCCTGTTTCATCGACTTAGAGAAGGCATTCGACAGGGTCCGACATGAAAAACTAATAGAAATACTGAGAAACAAAGATATAGACAGACGAGACTTACGAATCATTATCAATCTGTATTGGAATCAAAAGGCCAATATAAAGAGAGGAGTAAGACAGGGCCGTGTTCTCTCACCGTTACTGTTTAACGTGTACAGTGAAGCTATATTCCAAGAAGCGATAGCGGATCTGGATGATGGAATCTCTGTAAACGGAAGAATAGTAAACAACATAAGATTCGCCGATGACACCGTTATAATGGCAGACACCCTGGAATCGCTACAAGAATTGGTAAATAGAATTAACGATTATTGTATTAGATACGGACTAAAAATAAATAAGAGAAAAACTAAATTTATGATTGTCTCAAAAACGCAACATGGAAATAAAAGATTAATGATAGAGCAAACCCAAATAGAAAAAGTAGAGACATACAAATATCTGGGAACCTGGGTTGATGATAAAAATGACCAGAGCAGATATCAAAGTCCGAATTGAAACTGCAAGGCAAGCATTTGTGAAAATGAAGACAATGCTTACCAACAGAGACCTTCAGTTGCAGCTCAGATTGAGGGCTCTAAGATGTTACATATTTTCTATCTTACTATACGGAATGGAAGCTTGGACATTGAAGAAACAACACATAAGAAAAATAGAAGTGTTCGAAATGTGGTGTTACAGAAGAATGTTAAAAATTCAGTGGGTTCAAAGGATTACCAATTCGGAGGTACTACGACGTCTAAATAAGGAGTTAGAAATTATGAACAGCATAAAAAGAAGAAAACTAGAGTATTTGGGTCACATAACCAGAGGAGAAAAATATGAGCTGCTGAGAATTATTATGCAAGGAAGGATCCAAGGAAGAAGACGCATCTCCTGGCTGAGGAACGTTAGAGAATGGTTTAACTGTAGTTCACTTTTCAGAGCAGCAGCCAACAAAGTGACTATAGCCGTTATGATATCCAACCTCCGATAGGAGATGGAACTTTAAGAAGAAGAAGAAATTACAGTACGTTTAGGTATAGTAGCCTCGTATTTCCGCGAGACTATGTAAAAATCTATGTATCTGTAATAAAATCATTAATTAAAAAAGTACTCTACCAGTAAAATTATCAATGCCTCAGACGTATAATAATTACGATTCCACTCGATATTAACATTCACATGTGCCTGGTATGTTTTAAAATATGGGCAGTCAACCAATTTAGTTTTCATCGATCTTATAATAAGTCCACGTACCATGGTCTCTTTCCTTGTTTATAAAATCAAATTTTGTTTGGTTATGTTATTGTTTGTCCCAACTGTCACATGAAATTTTATTTATATTGAAGTTTCTTACCATTTGTGTCACATTTTAGACTATTATCGTTAATATTTAATTAAAACTTTCTCGTCTGAAAAATATTTTATAGCTATTGTTAATAAGTGTCGAAAAATTTAAATTTAGCGCCTTTGCATTTCCGGATATGTCCGCCATCAGAGGCCACTTTTTTGGTCTCCTTTTCATAACTTCCCTCTTTTGTCTTTTTGCTCGATGGATGGACCGCAGGAGTGATGACGTAGATTTGATTGACATCTGTCAGTTTCACTTTCCAAACAAACGTTGTTTAGTGCGAATAATTTGTATTTTTCGTTATTTTTTAATTTTTTTTACAGAATCTTTCCACTTTTTGCAATATCTAAGTATTCTAATAGTTACTACAACAATTTTACAAGGTTGTGTAAATAATAAAGCATGTTGTTTTATAAAAATAGCAATAAAATGCATGCATCAATAAAGTAAGGTTAGAATTTCTTTAATGTATACTTTTAAACTATATTCCATAGAAATAAAACACTGAATTGTGATGGTATTATCGTAAAAAACACTATACTTAAAAGAAAAAGTAGCAGAGGAAGCAAAATGTTAACTTTATAGAAATTAAAGTCTTGAGATTTGGCATTTCAACTTTTGTTTGGAAAGTAGTAACTACAATATGACAGATGTGACGTCACACATCCATTAGGGATTTTTATTTATACGTCCATACTCTAAAGGGTATGTATGTAAATGTAAGGGTTGTCCATTTGAATTTTCCACCAAAAGATGATTGGTAATGATTTCAGAGGCAAGGGGTCTTAATGAACGAAATGTATACATTACATTGACTTTGCCTTTGCCTATCTATTTCTAATATATTATTTTATTTATATTATTATTAATTTATCTATGGTTGTAGAATAAAGAATTTTGGATTTTCACTTTCTGGCTATAAAATTATTGAAGTACATAAAATGAAGTTTAATCAAATGGAAGTAAAACAAGAAATCAGCGAAGAAACTTGTAAAGTAGAAATAAAGTACAATAAGTTGGATAATGCTCTTTTGGATGGCTTTAAATATGAAATTAACCAGGAATCCAATAGGCAAAGTACACATGACACTTCTGATTATTTAGATTTAAAAGAATGTCCTATAAATACTGAAATAAAACAACATGGAAATAGACTGATCCCATTTGAAGACAATCTAAAAACTGAAAAAGGTTAGTAACAATATATGTCCCCTTCCCCCATACTTAGAAGTAGTATAAAATACTAATGCCTTTACCAGTTAATATAATTTTGATCTTAAATTTAATTTAGGACTAGGACATGCGAGAGAATTACGACCCACAGAAAAAGATCAATCAAATGAAATGGAAGTAAAACAAGAAATCAGTGAAGAAACTTGTAAAGTAGAAATAGAGTACAATCAGTTGGATGATGCTCTTTTGGATGGCTTTAAATATGAAATTAACCAGGAATCCAATAGGCAAAGTACACATGACACTTCTGATTATTTAGATTTAAAAGAATGTCCTATAAATACTGAAATAAAACAACATGGAAATAGACTGATCCCATTTGAAGACAATCTAAAAACTGAAAAAGGTTAGTAACAATATATGTCCCCTTCCCCCATACTTAGAAGTAGTATAAAATACTAATGCCTTTACCAGTTAATATAATTTTGATCTTAAATTTAATTTAGGACTAGGATATGCGAGACAATTACAACCCACAGAAAAAGATCAATCAAATGAAATGGAAGTAAAACAAGAAATCAGTGAAGAAACTTGTAAAGTAGAAATAGAGTACAATCAGTTGGATGATGCTCTTTTGGATGGCTTTAAATATGAATTTAACTAGGAATCCAATAGGCAAAGCACACATGACACTTCTGATTTTAGACTTAAAGGAATGTCCCATAAAAGCTGAAATAAAACAACACGGAAATAAACTTATCCCATTTGAAGACAATCTAAAAACTGAAAAAGGTTAGTAACAATAAATAAGTCCTCTTCACCCATACTAGAAGTAGTATAAATAGGAACGTTAGGTTAGGTTTAGTATCATTGGTTTTAATTTTTAATAATAAAATGTAAAGAAAACTGTGAATCTTTTCAAATAAAATTGTGAGCTTCCCAGTCTGAATTTAAGTTATGTAGCGTTATATTGTTTTACATTTTTTAATTATAAAATATCATGGAAAATATTAAATTGTAAGTAAATCAAACGGTTTGATTCCCAGAGAGACTTTTAACCTTTGGTTGGTACAGAATCTAGAATTGTTAATGGAATCAATCTAATATGCTCTCTGAACGTATATTTGCATGTTTTATTAAAAAAATTGCAAATAATAATTTTTTAATTGTACAAAAAGCTTTATTATCTTTAAACCTTCACATATAAATAAGAATATTTTGACAAGGATAATTGGTTTCAAGAATGGGTAAAGAGTGCGAACTAGTCAGAAAGATAAAATGTCACAAACTTGAATACCTGGCCCATGTAATGCGCAATGAACAATGATATGACCTACTTCGGACCATACTTCAAGGTAAAGTGCATGACTGCATAACCTGCGAAAATGGTTTAACTTACACTACTATCAGACTTTTCAGGGCAGCAGTCAAGAACGTCAGAATAGCCATGTTAGTGTGCATAGCCATGTTAGTGTAACATCCATAACGGATAGGCACCATAAGAAGAATTGGTTTCTCTCTTGAAGAAGAAAAATGACAACGTTAATACATAATAAGATAAAAATAACAATTACACTTAAAATATACATAAAAACACTGCTAAAAAACAATTACCTATCTATTGGTGCTTTTAATATGGTCCATTGTACTAAAAATGTACTTTTAAATTTAAATAAATATTTCTAAGAGCCGCGCGACCATACACGCTTATTATCATATATCTGTACTGCTGTACATTTATCCCTGTCAAAATATTCTTAGTTGTACTTGGATGTTTAAAGATTATAAAGCTTTTTTAGAACTGCAATTCACTCAGGAGTTTTTTAGAAAAAAATCTTAAAAATAACTAATTCAGGCATTTAAAAAGATTGCAAATAACTTGAAAAAGAAGTATTTCTCGAAAAATTACTAAGATAGAGAAAGTATTTATTTCAATGAGATACATCTAAAAAAAAAATTACCTGAAGCGATTCGGGAAAGTGTTATTTGTTTATTTGTTAATAACAATTTCTGTTTTACTTAAAAAATTTTTAAAAATATATGTGAAGTTGAAAAAATAGATTATATAGAATCTATAGTTCTCGACGTTTCTCCAACACTAGGGGTTGGCATCTTCTGGAGATGTTACTGCTTCGCTTGTAAGCTGTGTAGTTTTTACGAAACGTCGAGAACTAATCTCAGAACACAACGGCCTAACAGCTCGAACAAACAGTTTAACAAGATAGACGATGGCCGTAAAAGAGTAACACATTTGATCGTATATCAGATTTTTTTTTTTCATTTCTATAGCATTATTTTTAAATATATTTTCTGTTATATCCAAATATTTATGTTATAGTCAGTTTGTATTTTAGGTTATCTCCAAGAGGAAAACAAAATAGAAATTATGGAGACATTAATTGAACATTCATCTTATGAAGAAAATTATATGACGACAAAATGATGAAGCAAAAACATTACATCAAAATATGAAAATTGTGATTGGACAAAGATCATACAAGTGCAAAATTTGTTCTAAACAGTTTAGCCAAGCAAGTCATTTGAAATCACATTCGAGAGTTCACACTGAAGAAAAATCTTACAAGTGTGAGATTTGTTTTAAAGAGTTTAGTCAAGCAAGTCATTTGAAAACACATTTGAGAGTGCACACTGGGAAAAAGCCTTACAAGTGTGAAATATGTTTTAAGCAGTTTAGTCAAGCAGGTACTTTAAAAACACATTCTAGAATACACACTAGAGAAACACATTACAAGTGTGTGATTTGTTTTAAGCAGTTTTCTCAGAAATATCATATGGAAAGTCATTTGATAGTGCACACTGCAAAAAAATCATACGAGTGTAAACTTTGTCTTAAACGATTTAGTAATACAAGTCATTTGAAAACTCATTCGAGAGTACACACTGGAGAAAAGCCTTATAAGTGTGAAATATGCTTTAAGCCGTTTTCTCAGTCAATCCATTTAAAGCTACATATGAGATTGCACACTGGAGAAAAACCTTACAAGTGTGAAATTTGTTTTTAAGCAGTGTTCTCAATCAAGTGATTTAAAAAGACACTTGAAAACACACGCTAGAGAAAAACCTTACCAGTGTGAGATTTGTTTTAAGCAATTTAGTGAAGCGAGTACTTTGAAAACACATTTGAGAGTACACACTGGAAAAAAAACTCATGAGTGAGAGAATTTTGTATTAAGCAATTTATCAGAATCAGAATAAAAATTGAATTAATTTTTTTTTAAATAATAAAGATATATTCACCTATATTTACTTTTATTTACATAAATCATCATGTGTGTGACATATGTACATAATATGTATATATATATATATATATATATATATATATATATATATATATATATATATATATATATATATATCATGTGCTAGGTACATACCTTCAATATGTACTAGGTATGTACCATAAATTGGAAAATGTATGTATTAAGTATGTACTTGGTACAGCAAAGTACATACATTGTACATACTTTATGTCCCATCAGTACATACTTAGTTTGTCTTATGTACATACTTGTGCTTACTGGGTATGTACTTATTTGTGAAGTTCACGACGCTCTTAATCATAGGATTAGTTATTAGGCACTTCCAAATATCAACAATGTCTGTGAGATTATTTGCTGGTCCAATGACCCCAGGGAGACGGAGTAATATATTGCGAGGTGGTCGCTTACTTTTTTTTGTTTGAATTTTTTGCAAAATCCATGAGTCGAAGACTTTTCCATTTTTCTTTAGATAAGGTATATAAGCCTCGTTGGAACTATCGTCTTCGGCATTACTTTAATTACTCAATTTGTCGGACAAAAAAATCTTCTGTTTATCCGCCATTTCTAAAATAAAATAAACAAAATGGAACTAATTGCCATAAATGGTCGTGTGTATATGAGAGATACAGACCTCTTATATCAACGTAGAAAGTTTTCAACACAAAAAATGCATGAAATAGTAATATGTTATCCATATTACAATAAGAATAATGTTATAACAAAAAAACAGATGTTATAAAAACTCATCTAAAAAGTCGCGCGTATATCTGAAATACAAATGCAAAATTCTCAACAACGTACTATCCCTTGACAGGTTACGCGTACACATACGCGCGACCGCTGGAAGGTTAATCTCACACATCTGACCACAGAGGTATTTCCTTTCAGATAGATTACTCATCCACAAATTGTGCAACCAGAGTTTGTTATAGACCTATCACAGATGAAGGACTCTTTAATATGAACCAGATTTTGCTAAATTGCAACTTTAATTTTGTATACAATGGAAGTTTGGATATTAATTTAAAATGCTAATTGATGTGTTATTAAATTCCATAAATATCTCTTTTCCAGAAAAATCTAAATTGATAAATAAAAATAATCCAGGTAAAAAAGTAAACTGGTTCAATGACACTTTGAGAAAAATGCGTGAGAGACTTCAATTTATTATAGCAATAAATAGAAACGATCCCATTGCTGCACCTAGAAGTACCATTATCACACTTAGAATCATGGTACAGGGAAGCCATCAAGCTTGCAAAAATTAATGCAAATGATAGGTTTATAAAAAATTCTGGCAACTCTCAACAAGCTATGTGGAAACTTATTATTGGTAACAAACATAACAATGTTTTCTTCACTGATAATTGCAAACTCAATGCAGATAGTTTTAATAGCCACTTCTGCTCAACTGCTGAGGGAGTAATAAATGAGCTTGAGGTTCCTCAGCTATCTCTTGATGACTATTTAAAGTATATACAACAAAAAAAATATTCCATGTTTTAGTTTTCAGCCAGTGAACTTTAGTGAAGTTGACTTAACTATTACAGAAATAAAAAATAGTAACAGCAAAGATCCTGATGGGTTTAACACAAAAATTATTAAAACAATTAAAGATATAATTGTTCAACCTCTAACAACTTTAATAAATCAATCAATATTTTGTAATACTTATCCTCAAGTTTTCAAAACTGCAAAGGTAGTACCTCTGTTTAAGAATAAAGGCTCTATTGATGATTATAACAATTATCGACCCATTTCTTTGCTGCCCATCTTATCAAAAGTTTATGAACGAATTTTAAAAAATCAAATTAATCTACATTTTGAATCTAATAAACTGTTTGCCACAAACCAGTACGGATTCCGAAAAAATAAAACAACAACTTTAGCTATTGATAATTTCACTAGCAATGTTTTGGAAGGGTTTGAGAAATATCTTGATACTCTTGCGTCGTTTTTAGATCTTACTAAGGCTTTCGATTGTGTCACACATAGTATTCTGCTTAGAAAACTTCCTTATTATAATTTTCATAGTGATGCTATTCAACTAATTGATTCATATCTATCAAATCATGATCAATATGTTCACTTCAACCAGTATGATTCTCAAAAACAATCTTTGTTGTTTGGTGTCCCTCAAAGCTCGGTTTTAGGTCCAGTATTATTTCTTATCTATATTAATGATCTAGTGTACTCTCAAAATGAAACAGTCAACACTGTTTTATTTGCTGATGACACTACTTTCTATGTAAGCTATCATCCTTCTGAATTCGACACCCTTGATTACCAAACATCTGAAAAAAACTTATTCAATTGGTTTTTAACTAACCCTCTCTCTTTGAACAACTTTAAATCACAAAGTGTCAATTTTACTCTAAGAAATAACACTTGTGTCGAAAACGTTGCTCTACCACAATGTGTAACCGGAGCGAAGTTTCTGGGGATATACCTATTTGGATGCAGGATTAACCTGGGAACAACATATAGTTAATCTATCGAAAAAGCTTTCCCGACAACTTTTCTCTTCAGGAACCTTGTACAAGTGACTTCCAGGGAAACTATTTTAACAGCTTATCATAGTAATTTTCATTCTCATCTGACATATGCTATTCTCTCCTGGGGTCACTCTTGTCATATCGATAAAGTGTTTGCACAACAAAGAAAGTGTGTTCGTATTATCTCTGGGCTCTCTTATAGAAAAGACTGTAGAAACTCCTTTAGAATTTTAAAATTTTAACTTTACCTTGTGTATACATTATGCAGTGTCTGTTGCACATTAAACAAAATCTTAGCCAATACAATGCGCATGTAGATTTTCACAATTATCCCACCAGATTTAACAATAATCTTATACCAGAATTTAGCCGTCTTGAGAGATCCAGAAATGGTTCAAGGTATTTAGCCATAAAATTCTACAACTTAGTGCCAGCTAGAATAAAGGCTCTTAATTTTCATCAGTTTAAGACAAAAATTAAGAGTTACCTTATAGTGAATGCTTTTTTTACATATGAGGAGTATTTTACTTCCAATTTTAATTTGTTGTAATTGTTAACAGTATAATTTAAAACAATGTATCTATGTTTTGTATTTATATTTATGTGTGCATATTAACTATATTGACATTTACTTTATTTTATTTGACTTGTAAAAAATACTTATGTATTAATTTATTACCAATAAACCATCATCAAATATAATAGAAAAATATTTTATGTGGAAGGAACCTATAAAATAAAAATATTTTTGATTAATTAAATTTTTTTAATTTATAAAATACAATTTTACTTATTTTACCTGCAGGTAGTAAAATAACCGCAAAAATCTTCTCTTTGTCCCTAATATGAGATAGAAGCTGAAGAATAAAGAGAAATTTTTTATCAGATTCTAGAAGACTCTAAAACTGACCAAAAAACATTAACTTAGAAAAAGGATAGATATAAGACTACTAAAAGAAAACGACATCCAAAGACATGACAATGGCAAAGAAAAAAAAGTAAAAACAGAGATTGATAAGAATTTTGCGAAAATAGTTGAAGACACTACTTAGAGGTATAGAAGAACAGTGGAACGAAATGAAAGCATATATAATATCTAAAATCATAAAGAGAAAAGAAGCAAGAATGTATGACAGATAAAATATTGCAGATAATTGAAGAGCGAAAGAATTAAAAGATAGAATTGACAACGAATACAATAAGTTGCATAAGAATATACTAAAGGAGCAAAATAAGCATTGCTGACGGAAAAATGCACGGAAATTGAAACACTACAAACATGACGATTTTCATTTGCATAAAAAAAAATAAAGAGGTACAGAACACCAGAAAACAACGCAATACACGCATAGTTGTAGACATTGTAGGCCAAAATTAGACTACCATTAAAGATAAATTTCGGATGGATCGACGATATCTTTTCTTAAAAGCATACTTTTTTAATTTTAGCGCATAAAATTCATAACCTAAATTTTGGATTTGCTGCCAAATGAAATTAGTCTCGGCCCGTCCGCGTTTAGCGCTAGAAACTCTCCCAAACCAAAATTTTCACTGGGATTTACTTTACTAGATGACTTTCGGTGACTATGTACTCTGGTTGTTGTTTAAGGTCCCAGAAATAAAGATGAACCTGGCTATTTACATCTTTAATGGAGTCATGAGATCTTCACAGTCATAGGCACAAATCCCTAATTTGACAATTAAAAATAATTTATTTTTAATGTACAAATAAAAATGTATTATCTAGTTAGTATAAACTATTTTTATAGATATACTCATTTCGCAACCAAGGAATTAAAATAAAAAAAATTAATTTTGTAATTTATTAAAAGAAAATATGTTCTGATATCTTAACTATTTGTAAAACTTGGCATCATTGGTAATATCAACCAATCGTAGCGATTTGAAGAAAAAGGACAGGAAAGGAACATGGCGTTGAACTGTTTACATTTGAGTCTACAATTTCCTTATTTGTGACATTTTAATGAATTTGTTAATATATTTTAAATTAGAATTGAAAAATATTTAATAGTCAAGTGTAATAATGGTGCGTAACTGTGCTGTATGCAGGAAAACTGGATATTTACATCCAGAACTGTCATTTCATTCGTAAGTATTATAATTATAAACATGGACGTATAAACAAAGACGTATCTGTGTTTATACGTCCATGATTATAAACATTTGAATTACGTCCATGGGCGTAGTACAGGGATGTGAGATTACTTAATTGTTGATATGAATTGATGTTTAATTTTGTGAAATAAAGTAAATTTTGTAGTACTATAAATACATTTGTTTATTTTTTCTATTCTACATATAATTGCTATAAATATATTAATTTCAATTAAATATATGCAGATTCCCAGTGAAGAATCAACGGCTACGGGATATGTGGTTGTTTATGGTCGGCTTAAATAAAGAACAAATAACCAAATCTGCTACGGTCTGCTCAGAACACTTTAAAAAGCATGACCTAATTATACAACCAAGTGGACGGATTTTTTTGAGGAAAGGAGCTGTTCCAATAAATACTTGTCATAAATCACCAGAACCAAGGTAACTATAATGAATTTCTATGTAATTTACCATACAGAGTATAATAAATATAATGCATACTCGTAGCATATTCCATAATGGCTAAAGAGTGCCTATATATTTATTATTCCTCTTCATAAGAGTGTTAAAAAGTCGAATGTCTGCAACTATAAACCTATAGCATTTTTCATATAAAAAAGCTTGCACGTCATTCAAGATTTATGTCGCCAGAACCCCACAGCGTTGCCACAGAATAATAAACAATCAGAATGCCCACTCTCCATGGAAAATTAAGTACGCGCATCTCGTTCGCGCAGACGTTCCGTCATGTTTTAGAGGGAATCAGTGTTGTTTAATGAAAACTTATGTGGTGTGTATAGAAAAATTAACCCGGTTTAATTGACTTATGGTAATCATAGACATACTATGCAATTATTTAAACATTGTTAAATATAGTAACATAAATATAATATAATTAAACATAAATATAAACAATTACATAACCTCACAAATCATGCCTGTGTTATGTGTTTCCTTCTAAAACATGGCGCGCGTGCTGAAAAACTTCAAAGGCGGCATCTGAGAGTGGGCATTCTGATTGTTTATTATTCTGTGGCGTTGCCAAGAAAGTTGTCTGTAGAAAGCTTATCAGCTTTCTACAGACTGTTTATTTTTTTTTGGCATATCACAATACACAACAATAATTAATTTTAAAGCTATTAATCTAAATTTAATATGTATTTATAAATACAATTTATTAATATATATTATATTATGATCAAATTGTGTAAGAAATCAAAACATAAACAATATTCCTACCATAAAAAAAGGGGCAACACTTTATACACTTTTGCCACAGGCTGACTGACGCTGAACTGTCAATAAAATTTGAAGTATTTCCGTATCAGGTGCGTACAATTGTCTAATATATTTAATTAAAATTATTATTTTGTGGAATATTAGACTTAAAGATTTATTTCATAAAATTTATATTACCTATTAATAATAAAAATTTTTTCTGATTATTACACCATGTTGATGCCTATGAAAGATCGAGCAATGTCGTGTAAATCACGACATTTTGATAAAAAAAAACTAAATTTCTACGGAATTCGAGGTATTTCTTTCAATTGGTTCCAATCTTACTTGAAGAATAGGAAACAACTCGTTAGAGCAAATGATACTGACTCTAGTCACAAAAGCATTGTATGTGGAGTACCACAATGTTTAGTATTGGGTCCTCTACTTTTCCTTATCTTTATAAATGACATCACTGACTTGAAAATCGATGGAAAATTGTTTATTTTTGCTGATTATACTAGTATTACCTGGAGGAACTCTAGAGTATTAGAGTCGGACCAGTTTTTTATTTTAAGTTGATCGGAGAAGTTATAATTTCATGAAGAGTTACAATATTAGCTAATATTGTAACTCTTCATGAAATTATAACTTCCGATCAACTTAAAATAAAAACCTGGTCCGACTCTAATTTACTCTCTTTTAACGCGAATAAGACAGTAGCATTATCCTATAAAGGAGCTCTTCAATCCTTGCTTCTTAATAACAGCCGGATCAGTATCGTTGATTCTGTAAAATCTCATGATATTTTTACAGACAATAACCTTAAACGGTTAGTTTGTATAGATTTGTTAAGAAACTAGTCTCAGCCTGCTCTGCAATAAGATCTGTTTTGAAGGAAATCAATTTTGCATCTTCCAAAATAACATATTTTTCTTTGTTGGAGTCTCATCTTCGATATGGCCTTTCTTTTTGCGGTTCTAGTACAGCTGCCCAATCTAATGTTATTTTTAAAATTACAAAGAAGAGCAATATGGTATCGTTTTTGTCTCAGAAGAATAACACGTTGTAGAAGCTCCTTCAAAAATCACATTCATTTTTACTCTTCCCTCTTCATATATTCTAGAAACTGTTTTCTTAATTGGTAAACACCTACATGTTTTTCCAGCAAGACCCAATCTTGACTACTCCACCAGAAATTCAGCCTTTGATGTGTAATTATCGATCCTGTCCACTGACTTGAAATTGACAAAAACTTATCTATCTGAAAGACCATATTATTCAGTGGAAGAGTTTCTTAACGGGTAACTACGAAATTACAGTACATTTAGGTATAGTAGCCTCGTATTTCCGCGAGACTATGTAAAAATATATGTATCTGTAACAAAATCATTAATTAAAAAAGTACTCTACCAGTAAAATTATCAATGACTCAGACATATAATAATTAAGATTCCACTCGATATTAACATTCACATGTGCCTGGTATGTTTTAAAATATGGGCAGTCAACCAATTAAGTTTTCATCGATCTTATAATAAGTCCACGTGGACTAACGGCCAATGAAAACATCGGATATCGCTGTCATGACAAATCACAACGCATTATATTTTGTCCGTAGACTTATTCATATTTGGGGTAAGATTATATCAGTATTTGACTGAGCTTACAGGGTCATGAAATAAGGTAAAGGCGTTTTCATCGTTCTTGGCGTGTGCCTGTAAAAACACTTGCATCTGTTTATACGTTGAGTTGCCTATCTATTTCTAATTTCTAATATATTATTTTATTTATATTATCATTAATTTATCTATGGTTGTAGAATAAAGAATTTTGGATTTTCACTTTCTGGCTGTAAAATTATTGAAGTACATGAAATGAAGTGTAATCAAATGGAAGTAAAACAAGAAATCAGCGAAAAAACTTGTAAAGTAGAAATGAAGTACAATGAGTTGGATGATGCTGTTTTGGATGGATTTAAATATGAAATTAACGAGGAATCCAATAGACAAAGTACACATGACACTTCTGATTATTTAGATTTAAAAGAATGTCCTATAAATACTGAAATAAAACAATATGGAAATAAACTTATCCCACTTGAAGACAATCTAAAAACGGAAAAAGGTTAGTAACAATAAGTCCTCTTCATCCATACTTAGAAGTAGTATAAAATACTAATGCCTTTACCAGTTAATATAATTTTGATCTTAAATTTAATTTAGGAATAGGACATGCGAGAGAATTACGACCCACAGAAAAAGATCAATCAAATCAAATGGAAGTAAAACAAGAAATCAGTGAAGAAACTTGTAAAGTAGAAATAGATTACAATCAGTTGGATGATGCCCTTTTGGATGGCTTTAAATATGAATTTAATGAGGAGTCCAATAGCCAAAGCACACATGACACTTCTGATTATTTAGACTTCAAGGAATGTCCTATAAATACTGAAATAAAACAACATGGAAATAAACTTATCCCATTTGAAGACAATCTAAAAACTGAAAAAGGTTAGTAACAATAAGTCCTCTTCATCCATACTTAGAAGTAGTATAAAATACTAATGCCTTTGCCAGTTAATATAATTTTGACCTTAAATTTAATTTAGGACTAGGACATACAAGACAATTACGACCCACAGAAAAAGATCAATTAAATCAAATGGAAGTAAAACAAGAAATCAGCGAAGAAACTTGTAAAGTAGAAATGAAGTACAATGAGTTGGATGATGCTGTTTTGGATGGCTTTAAATATGAATTTAACGAGGAGTCCAATAGCCAAAGCACACATGACACTTCTGATTATTTAGACCCAAAGGAATGTCCCATAAATACTGAAATAAAACATGGAAATAAACTTATCCCATTTGAAGACAATCTAAAAACTGAAAAAGGTTAGTAACAATATATAAGTCCTCTTCATACATACTAGAAGTAGTGTAAATAGGAATGTTAGGTTAGGTTTAGTATCATTGGGGTTAATTTTTAATAATAAAATGTAAAGAAAATTATGAATCTTGTCAAATAAAATTGTGATCTTCCCAGTCTGATTTTAAGTTATGTAGCGTTATATTGTTTTACATTTTTTTTAATTATAAAATATCGAGGAAAATATTGAATTTTAAGTAAATGAATAGTGTTTGATTCTCAGACAGACTTTTAACCTTTGGTTGGTACATAATCTAGAATTGTTAATGGAATCAATCTAATATGCTCCCTGAACGTATATTTACATGTTTTATTCAAAAAATTGCAAATAATAATTTTTTTAATTAGTGGTTTTTCTAAAAAAAAATTACCAAATGATTTACAATTGTACAAAAAGCTTATTATCTTTAAACCTTCACATATAAATAAGAATATTTTGACAAGGATAATTGGTTTCAAGAATGGGTAAAGAGTGCGAACTAGTCATAACCATAAAACGTCACAAACTGGAATAGCTGCCCATGTAATGCGCAATGAACAATGATATGACCTACTTCGGACCATACTTCAAGGTAAAGTGCATGACTGCATAACCTGCGAAAATGGTTTAACTTAACCACTACGGAACTTTTCAGGGCAGCAGTCAACAAAGTCAGAATAGCCATGTTAGTGTAACATCCATAACGGATAGGCACCATAAGAAGAAAAATTGGTTTCTTCTTGAAGAAGAAAAATGACAACGTTAATACATAATAAGATAAAAATAACAATTACACTTAAAATATCCATAAAAACACTACTAAAAAACAATTACCTATCTATTGGTGCTTTTAATATGGTCGATTGTACTAAAAATGTACTTTTAAATTTAACTAAATATTTCTAAGAGCCGCGCGACCATACACGCTTATTATCATATATCTGTACTGCTATACATTTATCCCTGTCAAAATATTCTTCGTTGTACTTGGATGTTTAAAGATTATAAAGCTTTTTTAGAACTGCAATTCACTCAGGAGTTTTTTAGAAAAAAAATCTTAAAAATAACTAATTCAGGCATTTAAAAAAATTGCAACTAACTTGAAAAAGAAGTATTTCTGGAAAAATACTAAGATAGAGAAAGTATTTATTTCAATGAGATACATCTAAAAAAAATTACCTGAAGCGATTTGGGAAAGTGTTATTTGTTTATTTGTTAATAACAATTTCTGTTTTACTTAAAAATTTTTTAAAAATACATGTGAAGTTGAAACAATACATTATATAGAATCTATAGTTCTCGACGTTTTTCCAACACTAGGGGTTGGCATCTTCTGGAGATGTTACTGCTTCGCTTGTAAGCTGTGTAGTTTTTACGAAACGTCGAGAACTAATCTCAGAACACAACGGCCTAACAGCTCGAACAAACAGTTTAACAAGATAGACGATGGCCGTGAAAGCCTAACGCATTTGATCGTATATCAGATTTTTTTTTTTTCATTTCTATAGCATTATTTTTAAATATATTTTCTGTTATATCCAAATATTTATGTTATAGTCAGTTTGTATTTTAGGTTATCTCCAAGAGGAAAACACAATGGAAATTATGGAGACATTAATTGAACATTCATCTTATGAAGGAAATTATATGAGACAAAATGATGAAGCAAAAACATTACATCAAAATATGAAAATTGTGATTGGACAAAGATCATACAAGTGCAAAATTTGTTCTAAACAGTTTAGCCAAGCAAGTCATTTGAAATCACATTCGAGAGTACACACTGAAGAAAAATCTTACAAGTGTGAGATTTGTTTTAAAGAGTTTAGTCAAGCAAGTCATTTGAAAACACATTTGAGAGTTCACACTGCGGAAAAGCCTTACAAGTGTGAAATATGTTTTAAGCAGTTTAGTCAAGCAGGTACTTTAAAAACACATTCTAGAATACACACTAGAGAAACACGTTACAAGTGTGTGATTTGTTTTAAGCAGTTTTCTCAGAAATGTCATATGGAAAGTCATTTGATAGTGCACACTGCAAAAAAATCATACGAGTGTAAACTTTGTCTTAAACGATTTAGTAAAACAAGTCATTTGAAAACTCATTCGAGAGTACACACTGGAGAAAAGCCTTATAAGTGTGAAATATGCTTTAAGCAGTTTTCTCAGTCAATCCATTTAAAGCTACATATGAGATTGCACACTGGAGAAAAACCTTACAAGTGTGAAATTTGTTTTAAGCAGTGTTCTCAATCAAGTGATTTAAAAAGACATTTGAAAACACACACTAGAGAAAAACCTTACCAGTGTGAGATTTGTTTTAAGCAATTTAGTGAAGCGAGTAGTTTGAAAACACATTCGAGAGTACACACTGGAAAAAAAAACTCATGAGTGAGAGAATTGTATTAAGCAATTTAATAACGAAGTGAATATTAAAACTAGGGATGGTATAGAATAGTCTTTTTTGGTAATAGGTTGGAACTGAACCTATTCCAGAAACCTAATTCGAGTTTCTGATTCCGATGTGAAAACACATATTGTTGTTGTGTTGCGTTGCATTGAATTCAACCGATCGAACTAGGTGAGGGGATTCGTGGATTTCTCGAGGAATTGATTATTGAACCTAGTCGAGTTTTTATTGCATTTGAGTAGAATTTATTTTCATAGCTGCTGTGGCACAGTATAAGTATGTCAAGTCTCGCAGTGATTTTTATAAATTTTGACAATATTAATAGGCGTACCAGTATTGTATGGATTTTTTTTTTCAAAATGCAGATGCAACAAAAAAAAATTGCAAAATTTAATATTTGTAAAATAGTGATGCTCTATAAAACTACAGTTACTAATTAACATAAAATGATTACGGAAACATCCTAATTTAGAAATGATGGTTTACAAGTTGCATAAGAAGTTCCAACAAAGTAGGTCGGTATTAGACGTACTTCTGTGGTAGTGATAGATGAAAATATGGAATTCGTTGCGGAAAATATGCCCTTCTTATTAACAAAGAAGTCAATTTAAACCTCGATTGCAATGGTTACTACTCATTTTAAACAAATTTATTGGTTTAGATGAATCAAATAAAAATAAAATATTGGTAAAAAGTATTTACCTCTTTAAAAATGATAAATCAGACAATTGAAGACCTTGGGACCAGAAGGGGACATGCCACCAAACAATATTTTGGAGAAAACATCATTTTAAACTTATTTTCAAATCCTGAAATCTAATTTTACATTTTTCTCGTAAGTAAGATCCACAATCATATGGAAATATGTTATTAAATACACAATAAAAGTAACACAAATGTTTATTTAACGGTTTTTGAGTTTTTGAATATTTTTCGAAAAAATATGAGGCTTATCCGCTTTTGTATAAAAAAAAAATATTCTAATAATGAACATAAAATGTAACAATAAAAAAATCAGTTGTCAATATTTGCAATATCTGAAAAGTCATCCAAATGTTCAATGTCTTCCAATAATTCATTATCAGCATCTGGTAGAATCTATTAACAAGCACCAATTTCTTCATAAAATTTTAGGAAAGCTGGCGGAATACACTATAAGAGCTGGGAAATATTTTAATTTTTTTTCTGTTTAGTGAAATAGGCCCACTGTATTTTGATTTCGTATCCCTGGAAAGTAAAATTGACTTCCTCAAACCTTTATTCCCAATATTAACTGCCTTATAGCCTTCATTTACAAGATGTTTGATATACATTATGTTAGATTGTTCAGGTGAAAACTTGAGGCTTGAGTTGTTTTTTTTTTATTTTTAATAAAACTTAACTACTTTACTTTATTTTACTTTAAACCTTAACCCCCAACTACTTTAGAGACTACAGATGTTGTTTATTGCATTCAATGTACTGAATGTCCATCCACGTACATTGGTGAAACTGGAAGGAATCTGTCTAGTCGTATCATTTCTCATAAGAGTGACTGTAGATTAAACAAACCTACTTGGCAGAGCATACTATCGATCTAGACCATAAGATAGATTTCAACAATGTAAAAATATTAGCCAGATAGAAAAATAAATTTAAGAGAACTTTCTTAGAGATGGTACATATCAGCAAGAGTGATAATAACAATCTGAATAAAAGATCTGAGATCCAGAATCTTAGCAAAATTTACAATTTTATATTGACTTTTGACTAAGCTATTTTGCATCTCAGTTTTCTTTTTTTTTTTAATTTCTTTATTAATTGCTAATTTTTTTGATCAAAGTTCAGTTATGAATTCAGTTTTGTTTCGTTTGTCTGTTTTTTCTAAACCTATTTGCTAAATACTAATTTCTTTCTTTTCTTTTTATTGTTTATGTTAATAAATAATAGTTTGAATTTCCCTCTCAATTTCAAGTTGGTAATACAGTTGGTAGTACTCAAAATTCATAAACGGTATTTTGTTAGACATTAGCATTGATTATAAACCACTACCTAGATACCTCACTCTAAGGTAAAAACGAATTCAGTGTTAAACTCCGCCCACTTACACCTTACACAATACAAAAAAATAACAAAATATAAAATACATAATAAAATTAGCAGTGATACATTACATCTCATGTAAATTACTTTTTTGTAACTTTTCAAACAAATTAATTTCCAGAATTGATGTAAACTAAAATATTTCAAGCTAATATACAGAATTTATTTCCAGATTTAGTCCATTCACTCACGGTAAAATATTGCAAAATCACAATATTTACAAAAAGTAAATAAGTATATTTGAATGTTAATTCTTTTCAAACTAAGATTGTAAAATTAAAATTTTAGGAAAAAACGTTAACGTAACGTTAACGTTACAACCCACAAAGAGATACAATATACAAAGTTGATCTAACTTTGCTATAATATTCTTTGCTAACTTACTAACATTCTAACCAACAAGATTGCTACAATAAAAGATGTCAGTGTAATAAATAAAGTTCAAACAAGCAGCGACCATAGATTATTCAGAACAAAAATTGTTCTAGATCTAAAACTAGAAAGACTTAAGTGAAAGTAAGTAGCAACATACAGATAATACAATTCACAGAACTTTGTAAGACAAAAAAATACAATGAAAGACTGCTAAAAAGTTGACTTTAGAAGTGGATTCAGTACCTTGGATCATATCCATACGCTTCGAGAACTAATGAGTAGAGCTAAAGAATATGAAATACCTCTAGTATTAACCTTTACAGATTTTGTAAAGGCATTCGATTCTATATATCCCAAGGCAGTAATAAAAGCTTTGACAAACCGTACATAGAAACTTAGAAACAAATACATACAGACAAGCAAAAGCTAAGGTAAAAATTTATGAAAACACTTCAGAATTTCCCACTACCACAGACGTCCGACAAGGAGATACAATATCACCAAAGCTCTTAACTGCAACTCTAGAAAATATACCAAATACCAGTCGTTCTGATGAATCCTGGTAGATGAAATACGTATAAAAGCGAATATAGATAGGCACTATATGTCAAATGGGAGTGCGACAATGGGAATTACTGACATAGGACCGACAAACATGGAAGGCAATAGTAAACGCGACAAAGACTTACGAAGGGTTAGGGTTGTAGCGCCATTGATGATGATGATGACTAGGTATATGTCAAATCAAAGCTTAACTGTCTTTTCTTCTAGGAAATATATTCAGCAAAATGAACTGGCAGAACAAAGGCCTATCCATTGATGGAGAATACCTCAGCATCTAAGATTTGCAGACGACATCAAACTAGTGAATGTCCAAGATGTAATAATAAACAATGCACTTGAGACAGTAGACTAGTATGTATGCCTGGGACAATTCTGGCTCCTTACTCTCAGAACTCAATAGAAAAATGAAAGTGGCTTGGTATCTTTCGGTAAAAATGCGAAACTCAAAGGTCAATGGAGCGATGTAAGGTATAGCAAAGAGAGATCGAAAAAAAAAATGTTTCAAGATGTAATCCACAGAATTAAATCTTTCAACAGTAGGCGGGACATTTAGCGAGAAAACTGATAATAGGTGGTCCCCTAGAATTACGCTGTGGTATCCAAGAGACCAAGAAGACATCCAATTATATTTTTTATGTCTACCTACACTATTTGGTGGTTTTACATGGAATTAAATTCTACTAATTATCCTATCTATTATTATTATTATAAGTATATATACTATGTATTTGAGATGTGGTGCTACAGGAGAATGCATAAAATATCGTGGATTGAAAAAGTAACTAATATAGAGGTGTTACAAAGAATGAAGAAAGAATGTGAAGTCATAAAAACTGTTAAAATTAGAAAGATTCAATATCTGGGACATTTAATGAGGGGTGAGAAGTACGTATTACTGATGTTGATTATGCAAGGGAAGAGAAACCCAGGACGACGCAAAATGTCCTGGCTAAGAAATTTGAGAGAGTGGTTCGGCTGCAGCTCATTAGAATTATTCAGAAATGCGGCCAACAAAGTTAAAATAGCGATGATGATTTCCAACCTCCGCTAGGAGAAGGAACCCGAAGAAGAAGATACTATCTATTATTATCTATACTAAGTATCTATACTAGATTTTCGCGCGAAGAAGAGAATTGAAAAACTTTTATTCCAATTGAAAATACCATGGTACAATGAACACAGTCATTGTACCATGTGAAAATACTACTTTCCCTGCTAATCCAGACAAAATGGCAACACAGTGTGAAAATGTCAATGTCAAACTGGTACAGGGAAAAAGCACCAGAAAAAGCCAATAATACATAATATTTTTGTTTTATTTATAATTTATTTTGTTTATATATTTAATAATTCAATATTTATATTTATGTAAATAAATATATTCAATTGCCAAAGTATCAATCGAGGAATCAAGTCAAATGGAAGTTAAGCAAGAAATTAGTGACAAAACTTGTAAAATAGAAATAGATAATAATGAGATGAATTATGCTGTTTTGGATACCTTTAAAACTGAGATTAAAAACGAACCCCAGACTGAAATTATACACGATTCATTTGATTATTTAAACTTAGAGGAATATCCTTTAAAGACAGAAACTGAATACGATGGAGATAAGCTTTGTCTGCTACAAGTAAAACGAACAAATGAAGGTAAAAGCAATTAAAAATAATTAATGAACATTAAGTGCTCACATTATGTTAGTAGATAATTGTTTTGAGTAAGTTTGTTTTAAATGAGGTACATAAAGTGCAATGGTAAACTGCAAGTTACCTATAATTAAGTGACCAAGGAAGTTGTGCCAAATTCAAATAGTTTTCATATTTATAAAGCCCTCCAGTTAAGACCTATGTGAAGGATTATGTTCCACAGATTAATTAAATACAAATTACTTATTATTATAATAATTCACATTCAAATTATACCGAACAGTCTTGTAAAGAATATTTGTTTCTGTTGATCAATGCTTCTTTCTCTGATGGATGCTTTTTTTATTGTGGACTGTTTTTCTGTGCTTTGTTTTGTCTTTCTTGGTAGTTAAGGTGTTAACATTTATGTGTCCGATGTAGCATAAGATATAGGGGATGAAAATTGTATGTTCAATAAACATCTGAAGAATTCAGACCATAGGTATCTGAGTTTGATGCAACAGAAAATTAATTTAGCCCTAAAATAACATATATAACTTCATCTTATATTATAACATACATATTATTAACACGATTAGAAGAAAGTAATCTGTTAGAAGAAATAAGTAATAATTTTATACACAATATAAAATTCATTTATTATTAATACTAATACCATTATAAAACAGTCATGATGGTGAATGATCCTGGTACAAATCATTTTTATATGAAAAAAAAACCATATAACCAAATGAATCAGTGGAAGGAAAAATGACCCTTGGTCTCCTATAGTTCCTTAGAAATCCCTGACTACAAAAGCAGTCAAGTCAGATCACTAGAAGAGAGTCAGTAGAATCTGTATAATAGTCCAAATACCTGTGTAGGCAACTGTAAATAGCTTCTTATAAGATGTTATAGAAAAAGTACAAATCTTAAAATGGAATTGGGCAGGACATGGGAATGTGTGCACTAAAAATATTACCGAATAGTGGCTTAGAGAAAATACTTTAGAAATAAAGGGGTATTCTCTAATAAAATGGACTGGCGATTTTCTAAATTCAAACTGAATACAAGTGTATAGGATAGGTAAAGAGATATATAATCACCCAAAGTAGACTTAGCTTCATCAGTGAATAAATTTATGAATTGAATGATTAGGGTTTTACGGGACAGCGGTCCCCTATTGTCGTCCCATCCTATACTTTTTATTATGTCCTGTTTCACAGCTATTCTTGCTGTCCTGTTCCGTCCTGTGGCCCATGGCATGTCCCGTAAAGCTAACTTAAATTATATTGTCTAAATACTTAGTTAAATATATTTTTATAATAATGGTTTAAAAACAACCAATTGAGTAATTTCTTCAGTTTCTACAAGTGGCACTTTTTCTTTACAATGTATTGTGTTAAAATTTCTATTTGTTTCAAGTTTCTCCTGTTTAAATTGTTTATGACACTATATTACACATGCAATAATTCAATTAGAAGTTTTCAATGTTTTATTGTCTTATATTTTTGAAAATTTAGACTAGGAGGTGGGGTAAAAGATGCTCCACTTTTTAAATTAATATTGTTTTTAATTAATAATTATTTTTGGTTAGACCGAAAATTGCTGTAAGCTTTTTTATTTTAAATGTAATGTTGAAATTCTATGCGTAGTTGTGAAGTAATATTATTAACTGACGACCATTAGCTTTTTAATTTTTTAATTTTAATTAACTGAAGAACATTATACTGACAGACCAAAAAATTTTTGACAGCTAACATCTAATCGCTAATTAGAATTTATAAAATAAAAGAAATGCCTTTTATCATAATCTTTTTCCTTTAATGTATATACATTACATGCATGTACTGCAGTTTGCATGGATGATATAAAGTGTAATTTTTAATTAGAATCAAATAATATTTTTAAAAATAAAGGTACCTACTTTACTCATCATAAAATTAATATTTTTGGCACACTGCGAATACATCTGAAAAAATGAATATCTGATGATAGTAAATTTGATTTTAGAACATGCAGAACTATGTAAAGAATAACTTTTTTCATAAAACTAAAAATACTAAATATTTCCATTTGGTACTGACTTAATTGGACAGACACACACAGTATATATGGAGTCACAAGCCACACTTGAACAACACAGTACTAATTTCAATATACATTTATTTTACAAATCTAAATGCCTATGTAATATTGTATTAGTAGATAATTATGATTTCAGGTTTCATTTGCGAAGATATACAAATTGATGGAAGCAACGAATTAAAAGATCACATTATAAATAAACAATATACAACTGCTATTGGTAAGACAAACACTGTAGAAAAACCTTTTGCATGTCAAATTTGTTTTAAAAAGTATGCAGTAAAGAAAAGTTTGAGTAGACATTTGAGAGAACACAAGAGAGAAAAACCTGCCACATGTGAAATTTGCTTTAAGCAATTTGCACAAAGTTCCTCATTAAAAGGTCACATGATTTTACACTCTGGGGAAAAACTTTTTAAATGTGAAATTTGTAACAAACAGTTTGTAACTAATAATAATCTAACAAGACATATGGCAGTGCATACTGATGATAAACCATTTGCATGTGAAATATGTACAAAACAGTTTTTAATAAATAAAGATTTAAGAAGACATATGACAGTGCATACTGGAGAAAAGCCGTTTACATGTGAAGTATGTAATAAACAGTTTTCACAAAATTGTCACTTAAAAGACCATATGACAACACATTCTGAAGAAAGGCCTTTTACATGTGAAATATGTTCCAAACAGTATATGCAAAAATCTTATTTAAAATCACATATGAAAAGACACACTGGGGAAAAACCACTTGAATGTGAAGTATGCACCAAACAGTTTTCACACATTTCCTCTTTAAAAGTACATATGAAAATGCACACCGGAGAAAATCTTTTTGATTGTGAAATTTGTAATAAAAAGTTTTCACGAAGTTACGATGTAAAAAGACATTTAAGATTGCACACTGGAGAAAAACCTTTTACATGTGAAATGTGCCCAAAACAATTTTCACAAAGAGCTCACTTAAAAGTTCATATGATGAGAACACACACTGGTGAAAAACTATTTGGATGTGAAATTTGTACCACACAGTTTTCAACAAGTACTCAATTCAGACAACATATGAAAACACACACTGTAGCAAGCACATAATGTGAAACCCGTGTTCCAAGAATTGAAATTCATTTCATTGAAATTCATTCATACATTTTTTGTAGATTGGAAAGTTTAGTATCAGCAAGATTTTCTGGATACTTATAAATAAAGAGATATTCTATTAGTAGTTGTAATTTTTATTTCTATTACCTCTTTTTAAATCCTATACCGTGTAAAGTATGTACTTTTTCGTGCCTCTATATAATAGCGGGTATAAACAAAGACTCCCTACAATAGGCACAGAAGAGGTTATAAAGACCGAATTAATTTATTTGTTATTGAGCACAATAATTGCAGCTGTTCATCCAATAAATATTTTGGTGTCTGTAACAATAAAACACTGAAAACTTTGTTTTCAAACTTCCACAAAATTTTGTGGAAGTTTGAAAACAAAGTTTTCAGTGTTTTATTGTTACATAAAATGAATTTCCATTAAGTAACGGTCGAATCCATCAATTATTTTGGAGTCTGTTTATAATATGCAAACTGCTCTTTCGTTTGATCTCAGTTCCGTCTTAGAGTTTAAAGTAAAATGCCCAGTTCTGATATGGGCTATTTATGCATGAAATAAATAAGAATTTTTTCCCTTGTGCCACTTAATCACAATGAAGCTTTTCTTCCTTACGTCAAAGGTGGCACTGACAAATTCGACAAAATTGTTAAATCAAAAGAAATAAAAACAATATTTACCCCAAAAAAAACTTGCATCCCTTGCCCGATCAATCAAAGACAGCCTTCCAAATGAACAGCACGGAGTTTATGAAATTCCTTGTGCAGACTGTCCCCGATCCTATATAAGCCAAATAAATCGTAGAATCCAAAATAGGATTTATGAACATTCCATTTCTGTTCGCAATTCCGATTCAATTTCAGCTCTAGGTACCATCTTCATACAGGTTACAAAATTGATTTTGAAAACTCCATAACCATAGCCTCCATCCGCTTCTATAAACCAAGAATTATCCGAGAAGAGACATAGTGACCTATACTTATATAGCGCATGGGATTCATACCGGTTTGCATGTCTCTCTAATTCTTTGCAGTCTTCATTTATATGTTTATTTTATCATCCCTACATGCTCTTTTAATTTCTCTATTTAACAATTCGTTTTTGTTGCTGTCGTTTTGATATATGAGAGATTTGATTTTCCTTCGCTCTTCGAGAAGTTGCAGCGTTTTGTCTGTCATCCAGTGTTTTCTTTTGATGATCTTTTTTTGGTTCTGGTTCTTTCTACAGAGGTTTCTATGGCATTTCTGAAACCGTGACTTCCCCTCGTTTAATTTTTGTTTTCTGATTTTGTGTTATCGAGTTTTATGTGTGTTCTCTGGTTGTACTTAATATATATTTTCTATAATTCTGATACCCCGTTTATCTATCTCTGTTTTGACCCATCTCATCTGTGGTCATCTACCTTTGTAAAGTTTCCAATGTTGTATTGTTTAACAAGTTTTGTTGTGATTTGTATAGCAACCCTTCTTGACAAACTCTGTCTAAGCCTTTACTGACATCTATGAAGTCGGTTGTTACATACATCTTTTCATTGAATCCTTTTGTGATTGAATCTGTTGATCGCAGTAGGTACCTGAAATTCACACGAGTGTTCGGACAAAAATCCGAACTGTGCTTCAGGTATTGTTCCGATTACTTCGGTTTCTTCTTTTAGTCTTGCTAGTATGACCCTTTCTACGACCTTGCTTGTAGTAAGCTAATTGGTCTATCTTTTGGCTTTGCTATCATTATAACGTTAGCTTCCTTCCGCCTGTCAGAAAAATATCTCAATCTTAATACCACATCAATTATAATGCGTTATTTCCATTACTGCTGTCTCTTAATATTGTTCTGAAGCTATTTTCTTGTGGCATTGTAAATTAATTACTATTTATAACTGGGAATAAGCCACAATTAAAGATAAAAATACATTTATTGACGTTTCAATTTCCAATTCGAATTTCCGAATTGGAAATTGAAACGTCAATAAATGTATTTTTATCTTTAATTGTGGCTTATTCCCAGTTATAAATAGTAATTAATTACTGCTGTCGCTGGCAGATTCTTCAACGCTCTGGTCCTGGAGCTTTCATTATGTTTGTGAGTTTTGTTAGTTTTTTTAACTTTTTCTAGGTGGGTATGTGTGATACCTATGCTTTCTTGATTTCTTTTAGAAATACGTATCTTCTTTCTACTTCTTCTATGAATTCGTCGGGGTAGTTGTTTCTAATTTCCCTTTCTAACGTGTTTTCCATAACTTCTTCTTTGTAGACAATTTTTTCCTTAATTTTTTTGTCTTTCCTTAATTTTTTTATAGTTTCCAGATCGGAGATTTCTTTGGATTTAACTGTTGGATATAGTTTTCATCCATGCTGATGTTGAATAAGTTTTAATACTATTTTGTTTGTTTAGATTTTTAATTAATCTTCTCTTTTCCATTAACTGGAGAACTTCTTCGGTCTTCCGTCTTATTTGTTCTTCTAGCTGTTGTATCTCTAGCTGTTCATAAAGTTTCGTTTATATTTTGTCTATGTTTAATGTAATTTCTTTATTTCTTAATTTTTATCATCATCATAAGTGACTCGACAATCCTTTGTGGATCTTGGATATTTCATAAAGAAAATATCGTCCCGTCCATCCTCGAATCAAACTCCCACTGTCGAAAATGTTCGCGCCAATCCCCACCTAGGCCACGTCACCATCGACGGTATAAGTGAACAGTGTCTGGGGGGCCGGGAAACAGACCTTGGAAGCGCTGAAGAAGACATCAGAGAGGATAGGTATCGAAAGTTCGGGGCAATGGAAATCAACGCGGTTTAACCCGGAAGAAGTTTAACATTAATTTTTATAATAGTATTAACCTTAGCTCTAGATTTAATATGTAGTCAATTCAATTCCATACGATTATGCGTCCCCTCTCTTTACTTGTCTAATGTTTACATGATACTATGACAGCTGCCACTGTCAGATAAGTTAAACAAGTGGCAGTTGCGACAGAGTGGTCAACATCATCCATGGCTTTTCAAATTATTTACATGCATTGGAGTGATGTGGATATTTTATTTAAAAAATAAATGAACGAATTTTTTTCAACAATGAATTTAATTAATTACCATTAATTTAATTTGCGGTCACTTTTTAACTGACAACCCGTTATCAATGTATTCTTAAATGTATATAATTTGAGTTTTTTAACTACCTTACAATTATTATATGTAGCGATTTTGCAGCGAGATCTCGTACTATTAAAAGCATTCTAAAGTTTTTGTTTATTACCGATATTTTGTGCTACCGCTACCTATAGATGCACTTAACACGTATTTTTTAAATGACAAATGACATGCAATTTCTAGGGGGTTATTTATTAACCTTTTCTTAGATTTATAGTATTTTAAACGTAATTTTGTTACTTTTTGTCATTCATATATTACGTACACATACATACATAAAATCAAGTTCAATCAAATGGACGTAATACAACAAGTTAATGAAAAACCCTGTAAACCTGAAATAGATAGTGAGGTTGATGCTCCTTTGAATACCTTCAAGATTGAGATTAAAGAAGAGCCCGAGACAGAGAAAGTAAATGATTCATTTGATTATTTAGACTTGAAAGAATATCCAATAAAAACCGAAATAAAAGAAGACGAAGATTTACATACACCATTTGAAGAAAAATCAATTATTGAAAGAGGTAAGTGCAAAAACATTAATATACATTTAGGTACATTTCGCGTCCTCCTATCTCTAATGAAAGTATTACCTTCTTACCTAATTTAATCGTGTATGCTGTAAGTATAGGCAACATATCTATCGCAATTTGTTTGGCGATAATTATTTAGCATTGCTCCAAGATAATGTGCGACCTTTGACAGACTATTGATACCTACAAATTCCATCTAACTCGATATGACTTCTATCCTATTACCAAATTAATATATTAACTGCAATTTTTTAAATCTGTTAATTAGAAGGCAAAGACCAATGGAATGATCAGTACATTCCCTTCCCATCTTGATCAGATGTTATGTCAAAAATATTATATATAAAACTAAATCACTTGGTTTGGCTTACTTAAGAAACTTCTATTTAGGATTAGGTGTTGCCAAGACATTTGTGACAGGCATATTAAATCCATTTCTCCTAATAAATCTCATATATTGACATTCAGTATCTTTTTTGTTTTTTTTTACATTACAAACAAATAACAATATTCCTTATTAATTTTTGAGTGTGTTGTATCAATTTTCTTTAATCAAATAATCATCTTTATTTCGTGTTAATTCTTAGGATAAATCTGAAAGCAGATAACATTTCGGAACAATTTATGTGTATCTGTATAGACCTTTGTGTAAATATTAGTTTACAATCAACAGCTGATATTAATTTTAATTTATTAAGACTTCCTATATTTGCCTCATACATCATTTATTTGTCTTTTTATTATGCAATATGAATTTATTTTAAATGATTTTAGATTTTCTTTGGGACGATACAAGAATTGATCCAGGCAATATATTCAGAGATAATGTTACATGTAACGGTAATTTGAACCAATATTTAACTGTTTCTACTGATACGGATACTGGACAACCACCTTTTTTATGTGAAATTTGCACCAAACAATTTTCTCGAAGATCCAATCTAAAAAAACATTTAAGAGTTCACACTGGAGAAAAACCCTTTGCATGTGAAATTTGTACTAAACAGTTTTCACAAAGTTCCACCCTAAAAACACATATGAGAGTACACACTGGAGAAAAACCATTTGCTTGTGAAATTTGTTCCAAAGTGTTTTCCCAAAGTTCTAATTTAATAGAGCATATGAGAATACATACTGGGGAAAAGCCATTTGCATGTAAAATTTGTTCCAAACAGTGTATAACAAAGACTGTTTTAAAAGTACATGAAAGAATGCATACTGGAGAAAGACCTTTCCCATGCAAAATATGCAACAAACGCTTTTCAGAAACTTATCATTTAAAATCCCACATGACAACTCACACTGGAGAAAAATCTTTAACATGTGAAATTTGTAACCAAATGTTTTCACATGGTTCTCATTTAAAAGTTCATATGAGAAGACACACTGGAGAAAAGCCTTTTTCATGTGAAATTTGTTCTAAACAATATATAACAATGAGTGTTCTAAAGGAACATAAAAGATTGCACACTGGAGAAAAACCTTTCAAATGTAAAATATGCACTAAACTGTTTTCGAAAAGTTCACATTTAAAACAACATTTAAAAGTACACACTGGAGAAAAACCATTTGAATGTGAGATTTGCAACAAACAGTTTTCACGAAGGTCTAATTTAAAAAAACATTTAAGAGTACACACTGGAGAAAAACCTTTTGCATGTGACATATGCTCGAAACAGTTTGTTCAAAATTCTGATTTAAAAATACATATGAGAATTCACACTGGAGAAAAACCTTTTCCATGTAAAATTTGCCCTAAACAGTTTTCTCAAAAATCAACTTTAAAAGCACATATAAAAACACACAATGGATAAAACTGCTCACATTAACATTAACTTTACGCAGTTTCCTCTGAAGAACTAGGAGAATGCTGTACTGAGTACTGAATATCAAATAAAATGCAAAGTATCAAATAGTTCAAGGTATGTAATTAAATTAAATTAAACAATGTGATAGGGCTTATAAAGATTTTAAACAATGTATTGACGTCATTGAAAAACAATGTAAATGGCAGGTTTTTAAGAGACAGAAATGAGGTAGTAAATATGTTAAAGCTAAAAAAAGAGCGGTTCTATTTTAACAAAATAGACAGGTATAGAAACAATAAAAAAAAATCAATCAATCAATCAATTGTTCAAAATTAATGAACAATTATTTGAACATGTAACAAAAATAAAATTTTAATTAATAATCAATCAGGTTTTCGAAAACAATTCTTTTGTGAATCAGTGTTACAAGTTATATTATGTCACATAAAGAGTAATTTAGATAAAAGTAAGTACATAGTCGGTTTATTTCTTGATTTAAAAAGAGCTTTTGAAACCATTGACAGGACAATAATGATTTCTAAACTTAAACATTATGGTACAGGAGGTACAGTAATTGCGTGGTTAGAAAATTATTTACAAGATCGCAAACAAAAAGTTTGATTTAAAGGCCAATTGTCATCTGAAATGGATAGTAATACAAGGATTCCTCAAGGTAGTGTATTAGGCCCCTTTTATCTATTCTGTACATTAACGATATCGATATTTTTGTAATCTGTGAATTTATTAATCTTTTTGCCGATGATACTCTAATCTGTTGTAGTGATGAAAATTTTGATTTATCTATTCAAAAAATGAACACTATTTTAGATATGGTTATTACATATTTAAAAATCAATAAACTGAAGTTGTATGTAAAAAAAACAAAGGCAATGGTTTTCATTACCAAACATAAATATAGGTTGCTTGATTCTGAAATCATAGATTTAAATATTAATAATGAAAAAATTGAAATTATCGCAACAGTTAAATATTTGGGATTCCAGCTTGACAATATTCTGAATTTTGAGAGTCACTTTGAGTACGTTCATAAAAAAATATCAAAAAACTTTACTTTCTGAGTAGAATATCTCAAAATTTATCAATGAAATTAAAAATAACAGTATATAACACAATTATTCAACCTCATTTTGACTATTGCTCATCAATTTTATATTTATTTAACCTTAAAAACTTAACATGCTACAAAAATTACAGAACCGTGGAATGAGAATAATTCTTAAAACAAATCGCCGCACCCCAATTGGAACGATGTTAAATACTCTAAATTGGTTCTCTATTGAAAATAGACTGTTTTATTTCACCATGATTTTGGTCTTCAAAATAGTAAATAGCTTATCACCTGAATATTTTCAAGAATTAATTTCTTTCAACAAAAGTATTCATTGTTATAGTACCAGAGGTTTAGATGACATATATGTAGCTAGAACTATGTATAAAAGTACCATGAATTCGCTCTTTTTTAAAAGCTTCGTTAAATTTAATCAGTTACCATCATCTGTAAAAAAATGTACTAGTCTCAATAATTTCAAACTGTTACTTAAACAATATATCAAAAATTTATACTGTACTTTCTTTATATTGTATGTATATTAGAGTTTTTATTTAAATAAAGATCTATCTACCTATATCTGTGATTGCATAAGAAACTTTTACATGACTTTTGTAGTAGACTTTGTGAGAGCCATTAATGTAGTAGAAATATATTGTTAAACTTTCTTTACTGAACCAGTCTGAATCTAGTACTTAAATTATTTATTATTTTTTGCCAATGCTGAAAAGGTAAAGACAAACCAGTTATGCATTAAAATAACTGTTGACCTACCCGAACGGACACCTATAACGGTACAAGAAATTTGCAATTGATGGAATCGATTTAGCTCTGGATGATTTGTACCATTTTTTTTTAACTAGAAGCATTCTGAGGGAATTAAACTACGTCAGGGCTCTAGCGTCCTGATCATTTTGTTTATTCAGTGTTAAATATGGTTTACAGAATTAATTAATGACTTTGTTTTACTAGTATTGAGGAGATTGATGGATCCAAGATCGAAGAGCTTTGAGCCTCGTAACGGGCATTCTTCATACAAAATGACTAAAACTGTAATACACATAATAAGACCAGATGCAGGTTACGCATGCTATCAAAACAAACAAAAATTAAGACAACGAAATTCAAATAAAGAAACTTAGGTATAATAAATTGAAAAATAGAAAACTTTTGAGCTGGATAAAAAAACAATTTCTTTTAAATATTTATTTAAGCATCTCATATTACCAGTGTCTATTATGATTTGTTGAATGTTAATGTCAACTATATTTTTTTCTCTGATTGAATTTTCTTGATCTCTTGACAGAATTTTGCCGGAAATAATAAAAACCATTATTGAGGAAAACGCTGAATGGGTGAAAAACCTAATGGAAGCCCTCCTTAGAAGACAGAAATTCCCCACGGTATGGAAAACAACCTTATCCTCATCCCTAAACCTGGGAACGAAATGAAAGAATCGGGTGCTTTTAGGCCAATATGCTTGCTAAATACACTAGGCAAGCTATTCGAAATCCTCATATAGAGTCAAGGCTGTAAAAAGAAATTAAAGAAAAGGGAGGCATGTTGAATCGTCTGTATGGGTTCCGAAAAGGCAGATCTGCCATAGATGCCATAAACAGGTTGAAGGAAGAAAGGGACAAAAAAGCATGCTGGGATAGGTAGATGGTGGCACTCTTCTTGGGCATCAAGAATGCATTCAACAATGCGAGCTGGGGGAAAATCATCACACTATTAGTAGAAATAGAAATATCCCCATATATGCAGAACTTCTTCTTCTTCGTTTAGCCATTCACGTCCACATCTGAATATAAGCCTCTTCAAGTCTTCCTTTCCATTGTTTTTTATTGTACGCTACTTGTAGCCAATTTTTCCCGGCAGTCCTTTTCAGATCATCTGTCCATCTCATAGGAGGTCTGCCTCTGGGTCTTTTGTGTTGGTATGGTCTCCAGGTTAAAATTGATCTGTGCCATTTGTTTAGATCGCTCCTAGCTACATGTCCAGCGTATTCCCATTTCAGCTTTAATGCTTTTTGCACCACATCGGTGACTTTGGTTTTCTGTCTTATCCATGTGTTTGTTTTCTTGTCCTTAAGTGATATACCTAGCAGTGCTCTTTCCATCGCGTGTTGAGTGACTCTAAGTATATTCATATTCTTTTTTGTGATTGTCCATGTTTGTGCCGCATAAGTTAATATCGGAATAATGCATGCATCAAAAACTTTAGATCTAAGATGTAATTGAATTTGTTGATTTCTGAGTATATAGTTCAGTTTACCGAATGCTGCCCAAGCTAACTTTCTTCATCTTTTTATTTCTTCAGTCTGAATTTCCCTATTTAGGATTATTTTTTGTCCCAAGTATATATATTCTTCAACTTTTGAACTATATGCAGAACTAGTGAGGGATTATTTTATAGATAGGATCATTAATATAACTAAAGATGACACAATGAAAACGTCTTCGGGATGTTCTCATTGTGTCATCAGGACTCGGTCCTAGGTCCGTTGCTCTGGAATGCACTCTATAATGACGTATTGGAGATAAATCTAGGAGAGGAAATACATGCAACTGCTTACTCAGACGACCTGGGCCCTGATTCTATTTCATTTCGATGTCGAAATTTAAAAGCGACTACGCCATGACAGTCGCAATCGCTAGCGATTCTCATTCATTTCGATTTTAGTTAAAAGTGGGGACATTTACTTTATCACTTTGACACTGCTCAGAATTTGGGTTGGCCGTCTTGTTTATTGGCTGCACGCTTGTTAAATGTTTGTTTTGTTTACATTTTACGATTTTTGTTTGAGTTGTTAAATTTTTAGTGGCCATTCTCAATGATTATATTTTGAATTGAAAGAAAATGGATGGAGGCTGTTGGTGATGGTGGCACTAAATTGTCTGTGGACCAAAAAGAAATTATGATGGCTTTTGACTTAGTGGTTATATTATATTTTTAAATTTACTGCAGCTTAGTATTGGTATTACTAAAAACAATACATTACCGCTCTAAAAATTCTTGATGAGTTTAAAGATTATTTTATATCTCCAAATAAGAGTGTAGAATTAAAATAAATTATTACAACCAAATTATTTATTATTTCTATCTTCCATTACAGCCTTTTGAATATATTCAAAAATTGTGGTTTCCAATTTAGTTTTAATATTGGGACATTTTATTTCTTTAATTTTTACACCACAGTATATTTAAAAAAATAATCAGTAGCATCTGGCTTGGGGCCCCCAGGTACCGCAGTTCTATTTTTATAGGTGTAAAAATATCGACCAATTATGTGCCGAATCACATACAATTTCTGATAAAACGCAGCCATATTAATACTTTTTGCCTTCACAGATAAATTACACATGGGAGTGGGAATGTGCTGTGCCACTGGTAGGAATCTGCTAAAAATACGAGCCAAAAAAAATCAGAATACCTAATCTGCTTCTCAAGATAAGTAGGCGCATCTCGTTCGCGCAGACGGAATCAGCCATGTTTTAAATGGAACCAGTGCTCTTCAGTGAAATTTTATTTGATGTGCATAGAAAAATTAACTCGGTTTAATTTATTTACGGCAACCATAGACATAATGTGCATTGTTATTCGTACTTTTAGTTGAAGAATAGATTAAATTATTTCAAACGTAATAAATTATTAATCTCTTTACCAGTAACTTTATTTTTATTACAAAAGGCCAGAAAAACATAAATATAACTGAAAAAACTACTACTTACTGAAGGTTAACTGAAACTGAAAAGAAAACTAATCTATTCTAATAAAAGTAGTATTAGCTATAAAAACTTTAAAAGAGAATTAAAAAATACATAAAAAATTTGTGACGTCTAAAAAATGATTCACTGTCACTATCAACTAAATAAGACTCTTCGTCTTCCGGTAGATTTTCATTATTATAAATATTTTTCATTTTGGAGAGGTGATTGTCATTAATTTCGTAAATCAAACAACTTGGAAGATTATTGTTATTGTTTCGTGAAGTTTTGTTCCAATTCACCCCATTTTATGGTAGTGTAAAGTCAACTTAAGGCTTTTCTCAAGTGTGAAATCTCAAATGTGATTTCAAGTGACTTGCTTGTCTAAACTGTTTAAAACAAATTTCACACTTGTAAGGTTTTTCTCTATTGTGCACTTTCATATGTGTTTTCAGATTACTTGTTTGAATAAACTCTTTAAAACAAATTTCACACTTGTAAGGTTTTTCTCCATTGTGAAATTTCATATGTTCATCCAAATTACTTTTACGTCTGAACTGTTTAAAACAAATCTCACACTTGTAAGGTTTTTCTCCAGTGTGTGTTCTCAAATGTCTTTTCAAATTTCTTAATTGACTAATTTGCTTAAAACAAATGTAGCACTTGTAAGGGTTTTCTCCAGTGTGAAGTCTCAAATGTGATTTCAAATTACTTGTTTGACTAAACTCTTTAAAACAAATTTCACATTTGTAAGGCTTTTCTCTAGTGTGAAATTTCAAATGTGATTTTAAATTACTTTTACTTCTGAACTGTTTAAAACAAATTTCACACTCATAAGGCGTTTCCCCAGTGTGCACTTTCAAATGTGTTTTCAAATTACTTGTTTTCCTAAACTGCTTAAAACAAATTTCACACTTGTAAGGTGTTTCTCCAGTGTGCATTCTCAAATGTGTTTTCAAATGACTTGCTTGACTAAACTTTTTAAAACAAATTTCGCACTTGTAAGGTTTTTCTCCAGTGTGATCTCTTGTATGTACATCTAAAGAAGTTTTATGTCTGAACTGTTTAAAACAAATTTTACACTTGTAAGGCTTTTCTCCAGTGTGAATTTTCGTATGTACATCCAAAGAAGTTTTTTGTTTGAACTGGTTAAAACAAACTTTGCACTTGTAAGGCTTTTCTCCAGTGTGCACTCTCAAATGCATTTTTAAAGTTCCTGATTCAGTAAATTTCTTAAAACAAATTTCACACTTGTAAAGTTTTTCTCCAGTGTGTGTTCTCAAATGTCTTTTCAAGTTAAATTTCTGACTAAATTCTTTAAAACAAGTTTCACACTTGTAAGGCTTTTCTCCAGTGTGAACTTTCGTATGTTCATCCAAATTACTTTTACCTCTGAACTGCTTAAAACAAATTGTACACTTGTAAGGCTTTTCACCAGAGTGTGTTTTTATATGTCGTTTCAAAGAATCTGCACGGTTAAATTGCTTAAAACAAATTTTACAATTACAAGTAGAATTTTTTAATGTTGTTTCTTCAGAGTTTGCACTTATCTGTTGTTCTGTATTGCATGCAACTTTGGATTTCTTAATTTCCATTCCTTTATGAGAAAAACCTAAAATAAAAATAAAACTATAAATTTTGTTTATGTAGAAACTGCAGGGTATAAGAAAGAGTAATAAAATTTAATAAGAATAAATAAAATAATAAATAAAACTGAAACATAATAAAATGCCAATTAATACTAGAAAAAGATTTTAAAATGTTTTAAAAAAAACAATAACTCTAATAAACGAGAAAAAGATTGTGTCTATGTGCCTACATCACATATTTAGCGCCAATACATCATGCTCTAGTTCTATATTGCGCAGATTTATGGATCTTTTAAATAAAGATAAGTACAATCCGAAGAAACCCTAATGGAGATAATTTGTGATAACAGAAACACTGTGCAAAATTCTTTAAAGCCAAACATGTCTTATATAATACAGGTTATAAAATGAGAAGACCAAACTAAATTACAAGATCAGTACAAAAACGTACAGGAAGAACTTAACAATACATTAGAACATAACCATGATAATAGCTATACTATTTCGCTAGAATAGTGGATGTCCCAATGTTTCCAAACGAACTGCTATAAAAAACCTAAATTTACCCAATTACAGTTATATTATCAGAATGTTGGTGAGATGCCAAGTAGTCGGTGATTTTAATTTACAAGATTTTTGCAACTTAAATTATTATTTTGGTTCAGTTAACTGGAATAGCTTTATAGATACTAATGATTTAAATATATTTGTTTCTAAATTAGATGAGGTATTGTATGAGGAACTAAATCTGTTTGTTCCATACAAGAAATATAAATCTTCTAATTTTCTCAGTTCTTTTAGCTCTGAACTGAGAAATTTAGTTGTTCAAAAAAAGGTGCAACATAA